TACTTTTGAGAGCGGTTACAAATAAGCACACTCCAATGATTTTTCATATGTCCAAGAAGCTTCTTGATCTATTCAGTTATTCTTGATACCCAGTTATTAGTACTTTGTGGCCTTAAGCACGGTATAAACAGAGATATGACTAAGTTAAGTGAATTTTTATAAATGCAGTATGTGTCTTTTAAGTGGTATTCATTGACCAGTGTGTTGTTGCGGCAAATTCTTTTGTAGATGCCACGTTTTTTCTTCACACACTGCACAACATTCAACCCGATTGTATATGATTTCACCAGCCCCAAACATGAATGACAAAATAGTATGATTTTTTTTACCATGGGTGAGAGAATATTTACATAGAGAATATCTTCCGTCTCACTGGAATTATATGACAACGTACGTTTGATTAATATTTCAGATCGATTTCATAGAAAATTCCGGACTTGTGCATAATTAGAGAAACTCATATCCCCACTTGTGTTCAGGATTTGTTCTCTATAATCTGCTATCTCGCCACTTGTATATAGTGAGCCTGTGTAGTCTTGTAGAATTGTGGTCTATTATGATATTAGTACTGCTCCAATAATAGACCTAATCCTAAAATTGTAGATTCGTCACGATATAACTGCCTAATTTATGAGATCTTACGTGGAAGTCACATTATCATCTACCCAACTCACTGCATCGTAACAATTACCAATACATGATGGAGAACAAACTTATGCTAGAGATGGAACAATATATTTAATATGAATAGAAGATATGAGGTAAAATTCAGGGGCGACCACGCCTGCATAGTTGAGCCATGTCATCCGATCAACTCCAATTCATTCAATTCATTGTCCGCCCTATCCATCATTGGGTTTTTCCCCGCGTTAAATGTCAAATATCTATTTGATACATTGTCTCGTGACAGAGCCCAATGCCACTACATTCTTTAACGTGGTCCAATTGCTTCGAAAATGCAAATCCCTCCCTGTACAAGGCTTTTCTTGGTCGTGGAGGTAAATTTCATCTGGACCGTTGTCATATGTAAGCGATGACACTGTGATTTTGTGTGAGGACGGACCACAAGTGAACTCGAGGAAGCTGCAAGTGGCTCAGAAGGAGCCGAAGATATTCCATTCGATCACCTTTTGTAAGAATATTCCAGAATTCCTACCTGTAGCTTCTCGATTGGACAATGCTAATAACCCCCTGTATGCGGATTGGAGGACTGTAAACTATAAACACCTTACAATTTTGTATTATAGTTGACACTGTCTGGAATAATATCCTTTTCACTAGTCTTCTGTCTTCTCGTTGCGAATTGGAAGGGTTCTAGTGTTCTAGTGCTAAGCTTATACGCGGTGTATCAAGAAACAACCATCGAGATATAACACTTTGCGGCACATTTTTGCACTACTTTCTTATTTCTACCTAGGGGAACAACTGAAAGTTCAAATTAATGCTCAACAAATTCGCAAGGCTATTTCTGATCTTAAAACTTAGTTATTTTTCCAATTTGCGTTACTTGGCATCACAAAGTCCTTAAAAATTAATTACTTCTGTGCTGTTACAATATTTTTCTAAAATCACATCCCAGGCTAGCATCGATTTTTACACAGCCATACACTACAAGTGAACAAATGATTCTGTTTTATATGAAATAACATGAATAAAGCATATATCGTCATTTAAACTGCATTGTTTTCAAGGCTATCGAAACTGGGCAACAAGAAACAATACCATTATAAGGTTTTCTGTCTTTCTTCTTTATTGCGGTTTGGCGAGACTACAATATATGGTCCTGAATTTTCATGCGAAACTAAGTCAGTTGACTACATAGCGTTTCCGTATTTTAGCTGGTGTCAGCTCGTGATCAAAACCCTTAATCTAATTTATAACCCTAACTATGAACTGTCAAATATAACCTTTATTCCTCACACAGGTTTATAACCCTCGTTAGCTCTGGAAAGTAGGTGAACATTCTCAAGGCAACTGCAAAGTCGCTCATAGGTCGTCCGTATATTGTAGGTTTATATACATACTGATGTAAACAATCACCAATACAATGCAATAAATTTTGCATGTATTCTAGTATTTCATTCGCACAACTGGGGGATGGGATGGTCAGTGGTCTGTTTTCGGAAACTTACATTCATGTACTAGATAATGTTTTTGTATGAATATCTGATGAACAACTTACGATCACTCATTTTTATTCGTTGTCCGATGAACAAATGTGTCAGAATCAAACAGCTAGCATAAATCATCTATCTGTATAAGAGATTATACGTATAGACAATAAATATCTGAGTCCTACTAATTATTCAAGTGGATGAAAAATATTTCAAATTCCCTGCATGAATATACTTGCAGAAGTGGAGATGAAGAAAGGGCTGTTAATTTGTGAATAAAAAACCACATAGAGTGAAGAACAGATGGAGACTTCGACCTTTGACGAAAGAGCACATAAAAATCGTGAGTCAGTGCTTTGACCGATAATAAAGCCAACTGATTTCAAACATCCAGTCTTACTCGGGTGTATAAAAAATAGGCCCAGCAAAACCAGCTTAATGATGACAAAAAGTAAACGCTGTGTGATTTTTCAGCACTACGGTAGTACCGAATTTAACCGAGTGATTTCACACATTAAGTTCAGGGTTGCAGTATTTGTTAAACAGTCTGGACGACTAGTCACCTGGACGCCAACCTGATGATCGTTACACATCAACGCAAATCAACATCTCTATGTCCCACAACCATGGAGTAGCACAAGACTGCTGTAAGAACAAGCTGATAGCCATCTTAAAAAGTTACGATATTTAACGTCTTGTTATCAGGAAGCAGAAAAGTGGATTCTGACTATGAGGCTTCTTCATTACCACCGACTGGACTCATAACTTGTGTACATGTATCCTCTGATGCTTCAAAGCATAAACGGATATGTTACGTCTTTATAATTGAAGTATGCCAACGCAGTCAAATGAAAAGTCAGAAATGAAGCGGTTTGAAGGGCTATCTATATTTTGGGAAGCCCTAAGTCTAAGCCGGATAACGGTTATAGGAGATGTGTAGCACGGCATACACATTCGTGATCCGATACGGATGCGTGACCGAGAACTTTCAGCAAGAAGTGCCTTTTAAAACTAATGAGGTTACAATAAAAATGGCAGAGAGTGACAGAAATATTCATTTTTTGATTTCTTTACAGCTACAAGCTCACCATTTACTGCACGGACCGGGAATTCAGATTGGCAGTGGCAATGTTTAGACGTGATATAAAAATTCACCTGAAATGAAGCATACGTAGATGAATGACGTTGCGTCCTTTGTTTAAGTTGTGGTGATGAGTTAGAAGATGAACGTTCCTCGAAAGAAAATTGGTCACTATCATCATCTACATCCTGAATATAGGCATCTGATTCCGACGCGTTGAGTTTACGTCCAAATATATATTTGTTCTCTTTACATACCTATATGATATATAGAATGCGAGTATAGTGTACAAAGAATTGTCAGTCACAGAAGCCCTAGTACGATTTGAAGTCTTACGCTAACTGTAACAAAAATGCCTTTCGAGCAAACCTTGCACTGGTAATATTGAAGCGCCTTTTAGTCAGTTTGGCGGTAGAACATTCCACATAATCTTCAACAGTTTTATTCGTCCCCATTTAGAATACAGAAACATAGTATTTCTGTTGGGGCGATCCAGAATACTTCTCGCAAAATCCAAGAAAGGCTATAGTCACAACTCCTACTCCTTTAGAGCTGTCAAACACCGGAATTTGCTGCTGGCTGAGTTGGTTCAAGTATTCCCAGGAGTCCTTTAAGAGGCAATTTAACCCATTCTTAAGGATTAAAGATAATATCTTGCTATGATTTACCAATTTCTTTTTTCTCTTTCACCGTTGATACTGCTACTAGACACAAAAGCCCGTTAAGTGGAAACCTCTATTCCATCCACAACCATTTGAACATCTGACCATCATCCACTTCTTTTAGGCAGGTCTCGTAATTGTCCCAACTGGCAAATCGTAGCTATAACATAATATCGTTGTAGATCAGTTTTATATCATGCATCATTACAATGGTATCACTTCCAAACTTCAAGGATGGACGTTATGAGACAGTGTGGCTGAACTTAAATCGAATTGAGAACTGTTTTGATTTGACTGCTTCTGCAAAACCTTGAGAATTGTCAGGGTGACGCGCCAATCATTTTACGACAGTTCGACCTTCAGGTGCTCAGTGACCACCGTTTAAAGACAATACTACTGAATCGTTGATGCGTATGTGCAGTTGGTCATATCTATTGGGCAAGGAAGATTGATCTATTTTAGTAGGTAAAGTTTAACTGAAGTCAGTAACAGATAACTGTATGACTAACACAAGTAAGATTGCTTGTTGTAATAAACAAGGACTCAAATGATTTTAATTTGTATGTTGATATCACTGCAATGTACTTGCTGGTTATCTAAAACGACTTGAAAATGACCATGAAATTCTTTTGTCATAACTAATGGTAAATATCTAAATCTATGCAACAATTTTCCTACTTTAGAGCCGAAAACTTCATTTTTATTAGCTTAGTTAAAAGTTTCTGATTCTCGAGACGTAAACGATCGTTTACGTACAGTGATTATTCAGTCGACTTAGCATAAAATGTAGCATTGTACCTTTAGTTTGTGAAGCCATATGCTTATCGTAGATAACTTCACTCGTAGTATTAGGTTTTCAGTTTTTAAAAAATACATTTTTATGATCACAAAGTATCAGTGGTTTTGCGTGCTCACGGTTAAATTTATTTTGACCACTGAATATGATGGTTCGTCAGACTAATGAAAGGTGAATGTTCATAGGTTTTCCTGTTGATATGAAATCTCTGCTTTATTAAAACAACCGGAGGGTTGATTAGCATAGTTAGTTTCTTGAAATGCTTCTGTAATGTGATACGTACAACCATAATATGATTACTCATCTAAAAAATTTACAGTCTGAAATGATATGCGTTGATTTATGACGGTGAATTGTGGCCTTTAGAAATAAACCATCTTCGTAAGTTACCAGTATTTGTCCATAGGTGTTTTCCATCCATTGCCTGTATACTTTGGAACTGTCGAGTAAGTAATTGCGTAGTTAGACTTGCAGCACTAGGTAAATATGGTAAATTGATTGACGAGATAGTGAATCGACTGAGATGGCTGGGGGATGTATTATTTACGCATATCCACCGACTAATTCGGCGCGCAATGATGACTGGTGTAGAAATAAGTTGTAAGAAGGCTAGGGGCGGGCAAACCAGAATTAAGCATCAGTCCTATTGGGATGAGCTATGCAAGTAAGTGCAGACTGCGTGATTGGGGTCCACTTGGTTATCGTAACCAATGGTTAGAGACTTTGGGTAACCGTTGCTGCTGCCTTGACGTGGTGGTCGGGCTTGCCTATCACGATTAACCAATCGAGCTATACTGGCTGAAACAATCGTTCTTCAAGGTCCTACAATGCCGTGAATGTCGGTTGAAGGCGGCAAGACTAAAAGCAGCAAGCCCAAGCTCTGAGGACGAAGTCGTACTGCTGACTGTACAGAGGTGTGACGGCAGTAAGATGTTTTCTTCAGACAACCGGTATAACAGCGATGCTACCTTCCCACAAGGAAGGGTGGCGTTAGGAAAAGTCGTCCCTAAAAATGCACACCTCACCTTGTCCCACAGATCTCCGTCTCCAGAGGTAAAGTCCCAACAAGTACGGAGCTAACACAAAAATTACCCATAGCAAGGTCATGTTTGACGGACCTGAAGCAGTTGTCCCTTGAGCACTGCGGTGATACCCTCAGGTCACTAAGACCACCTCTAACCCAATTTTCTTTCAGATACATCTAGAAAAACCCTCCCACGGTGTGAGCAACCGAGAAGTAATAACCGTCGTCATACCTCTAACAGCACTCAAGACCACTTTATTCATGGTTAATCTTCCTGTTCAATTCCTGTTATTCCTCCTACCTCGACTTTCAAATCTAAATTCTCTCTTTTGACTTGCTCCCCAAGTGTCACCATGGCCAACGATTCTAATACGCAAAATACTGTCCCAGGTCCACTGGAACCTCGCTCTAAGCTACATATTGAAGCCTTCAACGTACGCACTTCATGTCAAACCGACCAGCTGGCGTCATTGTCTAAGACTAGAATCTCGTACCATTGATGTATGCGGTGTCTCCAAAACACACATACAGGATCCTAGTGTGGTCATTCACTTGACCTCACCTTACCAAAACGGAGAGCCGACGTGATACACTCTGTTCATCTGGCGACCCGATGGCTAGTTCTCGTGGACTGGCGGGTGTAGGCATAACAAGCGCTTAAAAGGTATCCTTGTTAGCAGTTGCCTATATGCTATTCGGCTAAACGGCTCCGTAACAACTCGGTAGGATAGGGACACACGTCGTTGCTTTTTCGTCGTTTCTGCCTACGCTCCCACTAACTACAGCCCGGATGAAGTGAAAGATGACTTTTACAGAAAGCTTTCTGAACTTCATAAAGCTAAATGCTCAGACAAAGTACTCGTAGCAGGTGATTTTAATGCCCAGGTATGTAGCTTGAATCAAACGGATAAACATTTAGGTGCGTATTTTAGTATTTCGGCTCAGCGAACAGATAATGGTGATCGTCTGCCTCAACTGTGCTCAGACAATGTCTTATTTATAGTAAGCACTAATTTTCAGTATAAGGAGAGACACTGTCTATCACGGCGGCGACCCCGTGTATCAAACCAAAGATGGGCTCAAATAGACCACATTGCCATCAGTCATCGTTGAAGATGCTCGATAGAAGACTGGCACTCATGCAAGTTGTTGCTCCAGGACTGACCTGAGTCAACACCTGAATCAAGGATAGGGAGTGAAGTAGTCAAACGCGTCGACCACTTCACTTATATTGGAAGTCTGATCAGCCATAATGGGCTGGTGTCTGACGAAATCTCTGTACGGATCCAGAATACTCGTTTGGCTTTCGCCAACTTACGTCACCTATGGAAAAGGCGAGATATCCGTCTACCAAGTAAGGGACGAGTATACTCCACAAGAGTTCGTTCTGTTCTACTATACGGCTGCGAAATATGGTCGTTAAGGGTAGAAGATACTCGTAAGCTACTAGTATTTGACCACAGATGCCTTAGAAATATTGCCAACATATGCTGGGATCATCGGGTAAATAATAATGAGGTTAGACGCAGGGTATTAGGAGATGATGGTAAATCAGTTGATGAGGTTGTAAATCTTCATCGACTGAGGTGGTTGGGTCACGTTTTACGTATTCCTGAACATCGATTACCACTGTGCGCAATGCTGATCAGTGTTGGGGATGATTGGAAGAAAGATAGGGGCGGCCAAACCAAAACGTGGCATCAGTGCTTGAAGTCACTAACGTCTGGTCTGAGCCATGTTGGTAGATGCAGACTACTTGGTTGGGTTCTGCTCGACTACCGTACGAAGTTCCACGTTTTTACTGACTGACTGACGACTATCGTAGCCAATAGTTGGAGACTCTGGGTGAAATGGCTCAGAATCGATCAGAATGGCGTCGGCGTACACACTCTGTCTTCCTTTAAATCGTGACATTAAAAATGTTTTATATCTTACTTTCTACTAACTAATTCTTTCTTCCTGTATTACATACTTATACACAATCTTTCTTTTATATATTACTACTATTGGAGTAACTGCTTCTATGAATCCGGTGTTCGTTTTGCTGTGTTAATGAGGTATGGCGAATTAGACCGATGCATATATGTGCCTTCGTCGCAGCTGACTGAATAGAAGTCTTATACGCAACCACGGCATCAGTAGCTTAATGCGATGTGATCAATCTGACTCTAATTTGAATTGCAAGAGGAGGACTTCAGGTGTGGTGTGTGCTATTGATGATTTGTTAGATATTCTTTATTCAGTGCTTGAGATTTATTTGGAGGGAAAAACAGATTTTTTGGCGAGTTATTGAACGGTAGGTGGAGCTTTCAAGCATCAGTTTTAGTGTTCTGTTTATGGAGTAGGATAATAGGTGACTTAGTACTGAGCACCTTTTATACCATGTTTTTCTCGTATCCAACAAACACTGTGACCACACTACCTTTTCTTTCACCTTTATCTCGTTTTTAGTGAGCTAACAACCACAATGCTCGTGCTAAAGATCTTATTTCATTAACATGATATAAATTAATAACGCGAGCTACCAAGGTTCAGTCATATTACATATGCAACATGAGTAAAAGTACTACCCCGTCTGAAGAATTTGGATATCCACACCTGCCTGTGCGTCAAAAATCGGACCAAGAAAGTATTAGTCAGTGCATCAAAACTCTAAAAAGTCGCAGACCAAATACTTTGGATTTTTCACCTTTAGCTCTTGGAAATTGTGACAGAAACCATAAAACATATGCAAAACGGCCAACTGTTTTATCTGTTCATGATTCTTTACAGAAATCTGTTTGCAGTACGAGCGCTTATTCTTCATCAGCTATCTCAGATTGTCCAATCAAAAGACCTAACTTTTTACCAATACCTTCACAAGGAAGTAAATATCCAGGTTTTTCAAAACCTAGTGACGGACTCATGCCAGGAAATAGCAAGAATATCACATCTACAGTTAAAGCCTCTTCTCCTTTAAATAATGGAAGCATTCATACTATACATCCTGATTCTATGGGATTGTCTATTAAGAAAAGTAGGTGAATTTCCTGTCACTGCTTTTGTATCGTTGTCTTAAAATATTGACTTATTTCACACAGCAGCTAACCAATTATTTACTTAATTAATTGTGACAAACTTTAGATTTGTAAGAGTTAAATATGTTTTCATTTCTGTAGTTAAGGCTTTCAGAATTTATTGATCTGAGTCTGTACTTATATGTAAGAAGTAATATATATTCTAACCTCGCAGTTTTAGTTGAGGTACGTGGTTTGTCAGTTCTGAGTTTCCTTTGATAAATCCTTAGATTGGTTCGATCTATAATATGAATATGAACATTCAACTACTTTTAGGTTACTTGTTTGGAGTTTTAACACTCCGTTGTGGATCAGAACCATATTGCACTTCAGTGTCATGCTAAGCATTGTAGCTGTCACATCTAGCTGGTTCAGGACTATCTATCCGAGGCTTAGAAATATTTTAGTGTGTGTTGCTGTACATCTGAAAAAGATAACGGAGGTTTGTCGCTCGTGTGGATGACTTTTGTGAAGTTTCGTTCTCTGAACTGAATGGTTTAATTGTGTTTTGTATCCCCCTACCTGAAATTTCAACATTTTCCCAGCAGAACGTTCGTCCACATGGATCGATGTGAGCGAATATACACCATGGCGTTTGATAGCTAATTAGCGATCATTCTTGTAACTTCAAAGAAAACCTTTTTCTTAAGCACGTGAAACTAAATTTTATCGCCTGTCCTTGGAGTGTGCGTAATATATGTTTAGAAATTGTACTTGGTATGGTGCGTGTTCTATCACTGCGACTCACGTGTATTATTTGCTTACCATCCCGCGAATATTAAATGTAATATTGTTCTCGTGTTTCCATTCTCCGGTCAGATCCATTCGTATTAAATATTTTATGTTTAGTTTTTTACTAATAATAGTATTGTTATCCTCATTCTATCATTCCTCTCGCAGTGCTTCTTTGAAGTATTGTTACTTGACATGGTATACTTTTGTTCCATCTCGTATGTTGTTTATGCTTATTTGTTATAAACGAGTGCCTGTCGTTCTGGGAAGCTGCTTAGTATCTGTTGGTTTATGCCGATGTATTATTATTATAAATATTTTAAAACAAATATTTGTACAAAGGGGCACCAAATACATATACCCCACACAAGTCATTTGACTTGTGTGTGGGCTGTGATACTGCTCGGATGCCCAGACCGAAGCAAGTGGTTTTCTTAGGAGGGCCGCACCCGGAGCCTTCGACCTATAGGTCTGATCCAAAAGGCAGTAGAGCAACGTAAGGAGATGCAATCCCATGGTAGCCGGTGACCAACGATTGGTTCATATGCCATTTGTTCCCTCAAGATCCTGGAGCCCATATGCACCACCGGTTTAGGGTCAGGGTTTTTCAACTCTCCTAGATAGATCCTCCATATCCACCAACCACGTTTAGGCGCCGGACATTCGCTTGTCGTCCTCTCAACTCCGTAAACAACACCCCCGCCACAAAAAGGTAGTGAGTAGGACTTCCCTGGCAGCGGTCATGTGAAAGCATTTCGAGAAGGAGAGCGGACTCTCCCTACCCTCGGCATGTCGATGCAAAGGAAGTTCAATTTTTAAGGTATGGGAAATCTCAAAGTACTTATCCAAGGACCTTGGAACTTGGTGGTCATAATTATATTTCAGCTACACCAAGCAACTGTGAAAGCTGTTGGAGCTATCTAGGCAACCTTAAAGAAGAAGCTCGATTTTAGAAAGATGTTTTGTGAAATAGATAGTTTGCCAATATTTATACCTAAAATTGTGGGACAGCTAAAAGTTGTTCTTTTTTTCACTAGATATTTCACCTTTAATATTTTGTGATCTTTGCCTGTTAACACCAACTCGCCTAAGAAATGTGAAATCTCTGTGTTCTCTTACTCTACAAAACGACAAGCCCAGGTAACGTGTTCAGACTCTTTCTAAGAATCGACTGGATTTTTCAAGGAATCATAGTAAATTAAATCTATCATCTAAAACTAAGATCTTGGTTTAATGGTCTTCATAATGGGTAAATGTATCATGTGTAAAGAGTATTAGGCAATTAATAATAATAATATAATCATATATTCGTGATATCCAAATGAGTAGATATTTAGATTTCTGACGTTTCATGACTTGATGTAGATCACTTCTCCAGAGTAAATAGCTTAATAATTTGGTTATTCATTTACTTTGAAGAAGCGAATTAGATCAAGTCACGAAACGTTAGAAATCCTAATGTCTACTCATATGAACACCGTAAAAATATTATTATTTTATGATTATTTACCTTCTATCCAATGCTCAATTTATTTGAAACTTTCGAGTTCAATCTTCGCATTGATACCTACTACGTAATCAATCTGTTGAATCCCAATCATTGACATTCTACACTCCGTTGACTTTGGTAAGCCCTAGGGAGATTATAATATCAAGATGTACCCATCCCGTGTAGCAAGATTTGTAGGAATTCTCGATCTTCAAGTTACTAGTCTAGTTTGCCAGTATTTTCGTGTCAATTTAATTCTACTTTTTCGTCTTGTAGTAGACTTGTATTTTTAAGTTACTTCATATGCATCTGCTCACTTTTGCCACAAAACTAAAGTCTAGTGTTTACTTTGATTTTCAGACACACAGTTGTTAAAATATCATACCTGCCGAACTTCAGTAAGATGTCGACCAAATAAATGTGGCCACATGTCTACTAAGAATTTTATAGCATGGTCGCGGAACAATACACAGTTATACAGTGTGTTTTGTTTTGACAAATTCCGTATCATTCATAAGAGATTACCCTGTCCATATTGTTCTACTTGTAACCATCATAAAAGGCGTGCATTTAATCATACATCGTATATTTTTGGTGGTTCTAGCTACCTTCCACATTCACAAATGTTTCCTAGTTTACTGTCTTTTCGCAGATGTTGTTCTAATACTTTTACCAAACATATGAATTTTACCTCTTCGGATATTCGAACTAGTTCCATTCGCTTGTGTCCACGATACTGTAGAAGAATCAATAACTGTAAGTTATACTAATCATATATATTTACCTTAGCATTAATGAATATCATTCTGAACACTAAGGTAAGTTGTCAGATGTATTCACACTTGCACAATAGTGAGGATATTATGGTATTGAATCGCATGTTAAGGAGTATCTTAGTGATAAAAATACTTGATTCTATAAATTCGAAACCCATTACTTGATTTCATTTGAGCTGTTTGGGGTGCGAATCTTTTCCTGTGTACTGGATTAAATAAGTCATTTGGAGTATTCGTTTCCCTGATTTAAGGAGGTTTAGGATAGTTTTCTCGTATAGTTAACCTTGGGTAATGCTAAAAACGTTATTTCGAGCATAGTTTGCAAATTTTTCTGCCTATACTTCGATCTGGGAAATTCAACTAATTTGGATTCACAGTAATATCAACTGACTCAGAACATATGGTAGAGGTCAGTCAGTCAGCTGCAACGTAGGACCAGGCACGTATATGCATCGGTCCAAGTTGCCATACCGCATTAGCACAACAAGATGAACACCGGGTTCATAAGAGTAGTTAATTCAGTGGTGGTAATATATAGAAGAAAGATTGTGTATAAGGAGATAGTAAGGGAAGAAAGAATTAGTTCCTAGACAGATATGAAGCGATTTTAATCTCTTAATTTAAGGAAGACAGAGAGTGTATACACCGACGCCATTGTGATCGATTCTGAGCCATGTCACCAAGAGTCTCCAACCATTGGTTACGATAGTCACGCGGACCCCAACCAGGCAGTCTGAATCTCCCAACATGGCTCAGACCAAAAGTTAGTGACTTCAAGCACTGATGCCACGTTTTGGTTTGGCCGCCCCCCTAACTTTCTTCCAATTATCCCCTGCACTAGTCAGCATTGCGCGTCGTGGTAATCGGTGTTCAGGCATACGCAACACGTGGCCCAACCATCTCAGTCGATGAAGATTCATAACCTCATCAACTGATTTACCATCATTCCCTAGTACCCTGCGTCTAACCTCACTATTACTTACCCGGTGATCCCAGCAGATACCCGCAATATTTCTAAGGCACCTGTGGTCAAATACTAGTAACTTACGAATATCTTCCACTCTTAAAGGCCATGTTTCGCAGCCGTATAGAAGGACGGAACGAACTGCCGCTCAGTATACTCATCCCTTAATTGATAGACGGATATCTCGCCTTCGCCATAGATGACGCAAGTTGGCAAAGGCCAAGCGAGCTTTTCGAATCCGTGCTGAGATTTCGTCAGACACCAACCCATTAGGGCTGATCAGACTTCCAAGATAAGTGAAGTTGTCAACGCGTTCGACTACTTCACCCCCTATCCTTAGTTCAGGTGTTGATGCAGACCAGTCCTGAAGCAACAACTTGCATTTAGAGGGAGAAAAGCGCATCCCAAACATTCTAGCATTGTTGCTCAGTGCTACCAAAAGACTCTGCATTTCATCAGCGTCTTCACCAAACAGGACTATGTCATCTGCGTATTCTAAGTCAATAAGTGGACCTCCTGGTAGGAGATCAATACCCGAGAAGTCAGTCGATGAGAGCGTTATTTCCATCAGGATGTCTATGATAAAGTTAAACAAAAAAGGAGAAAGTGGACAGCCTTGACGGACGCCACTTGAGGTTGCAAAAGCAGATGACAGTTCGCCATAGGCTCTGACCCGACTAGTAGTGTTCGAGTAAAGAGCCTTCACAAGGTTTATGTACTTCTGAGGTACGCCTTTCAATGACAGACACTGCCACAGAACCTCTCGGTCAACAGAGTCAAACTCTGCTTTTAAGTCAAGGAATACCACCATTGTCGGACGCCGATAAGTATGCCTGTGTTCTAGAACCTGACGAATGGTGAATATGTGGTCGATGCAGCCACGACCAGGTCTGAAGCCAGCCTGATTTTCACGTGTTTGCAGTTCACGAGTCTTAGTTAGGCGTCCGAAAATTATCGAAGCTAGTATTTTAGATACTATATTAGTCAAACTAATCCCTCTGTGGTTGTCACAGGATGATTTTGACCCTTTCTTAAATATTGGGACGATAAGTGATTGTGACCAGTTAGATGGAATAACGTCTAACTCCCAGATTTTAGCTAAAATATAAGTCAACCTAATCGCTAAGACTAGACCACCATCCTTAAAGACCTCTGGGGCCAATCCATCTGGACCAGCTGCCCGTCCTCGTTTCAGATTAGCTATAGCCTTTTGAACTTCAGCTAGAATTGGGGGACCTACTTCAATGTTCCATTCACACTGTCTGGGAATAGAGGGTAGTTGTAGAGTAGCTGAAGGCCAGCTAAACTGCTCCTTAAAGTGTTCCGCCCATCGTTCTAAGCGTCTGGACTGGGAGCAGATGAGAGTGTCGTCTTTTTCCGAAATAGTCTGACTTACACTTGATTTATTAATTCCAGTTTCTTTTATTAGTCTGTAGAGTTGTCTTGTGTTACCTATAGCCGCCGCCTTTTCCATCTCTTTTGCTTTCGTTGCCCACCACTGCTCACGATCATTCTTTAGACTTTTGCTTAATCTAGATCTGATTGCTTTACGCTCTTCATCGTATTCAAAACCTGATGGGATGAGTTTGCGAGAATCTATCAGTGCAATAGACCTTGACGAAATCCATTGGTTCTTTGTAACCCTGTGGTTTAACTCACTGGTAGATGTCAATGCTGTTTCCACAGCTGCTTGTATAACTTTCCAAGCAACATCTGGGTCAGTCTCGTTTTCAGAACTACCTAAGTGTGACCTCAGTTGTTCCTGGAACCTACTTTTGGCTTTCTCATTACTCAATTCGGTTCTAATGAGTCTTTTTTGTGTGGCTCTTCTGCGTCCAGTGAGGCGCAAGCAGATGCGTGCTCGTACTAGGGCATGATCAGAGTCCAAGCAGGTACCCCAGAATGAGCGACAATCTTCTATTGACCCTCTCCAACGATGACTGATGGCAATATGGTCTATTTGAGTCCATCGTTGGTTTGGTGCAGGGGGTCGCCATGTTAGACGATGTCTCTCCTTATGCTTAAAATTTGTGTTTGCTAAAAATAAACGATTGTCTGAGCAAAGTTGCAGCAGACGATCACCATTATCTGTTCGCTGTGCCGGAATACTAAAATACCCACCTAAATGTCTTTCTGTTTTGTTTAAGCTACCTACCTGGGCATTAAAGTCACCTCCTACGAGTACTATGTCTGAACGTTTAGCTTTCTGAAGAAGTTCAGACAGCTTTCTGTAAAATTCATCTTTCACTTCATCCGCACTGCAGTCAGTGGGAGCGTGGGCAGAAACGACGAAAAGGCAACGACGTGTGTCCCTATCCTTCCGAGTTCTTACGGAGCCGTTTAGCCGAACAGCGTATAGACGACTGTTAACGGGGATCCACTCTAATAGCGCTTGTTCCGCCCTCATGCTAAGTGCTATGCCTACACCTGCCAGTCCACGAGAACTAGCCATCGGGTCGCCAGATACACGGAGGGTGTATCTCTTGGCTCTCCGTTTTGCCGAGGTGAGGTCAAGTGAATGACCACACTAGGATCCTGTATGCGTGTTTCGGAGACACAGCATACATCAATCGTACGAGATTCTAAGGTTTTAGCCAAGGAAGCCTGCTGACCGATTTGGCATAGTGTGCGTACGTTGAAGGCTCCGATGTGTAGTTTGGAGCGAGGTTTCAGTAGACCTGGGACAGTGTTTTGCGCACTAGAATCGTTGGCTGTGGTGACACTTGAGGAGGAAGCCGAAAGAGGGAGTTTAGATTTGAAAGTCGATGTAGGAGTAATAATAGGAATTGAAGAGGTAGGTTGATTATGAATACAGTGGTCTTGAGTGCTGTTAGAGGTAGAGGGGTTTTTGCCGGTCATTTAAAGTATTCTTAGATAAAAGAAAAACCTTTTAATCATTGTTTATTGACGAGTGATTAAAAATCATGTCAGCATATCATAATTCATTTGGCTTAAAATGTACCGACAATTGTATGTGCTACTTAAATTTTCTTTTGTCTGGATTTTTGTTTTAAGCCTAGCCTAAATTCACAATAAAATAATGAGCTCTATAACCAGTATAGTAAAAGTAAAAGAATTCTCTAATATTCTTTGTGTATTCTATCATACTTAATACAATTCGATTTACTGTTTACATAAAATAGGCCTAGACTTTATGGATATATTGGTACAAGGAGGCACCAAATACATGCACCACACAGATCTCATTGGATATGTGTGAGGGATGTGATACTGCCCGGTTACCCAAACTGAAGAAGGTGGTTTTCTTAGCGGACCACACCCCGAGCCTTTGACCTAAAGATCTAACCCACAAGGCAGTGGAGCATCGTGAGGAGATACAGTCCCATGGTAGCCGGTGACCAATGATTGGTTCATACGCCATTTGTTTCTTCAGGATACTGGAGCCAGCTCATGTGCACCATTGGTTTGAGATCTGGTTAAAGCGTCGGAAGGCAGTGAGTAGGATTTCCCTGGCAGAGTCTATATACGCGCGGCCATGTGAGAGAATTTCGATAGGGAGAGCGGACTCTCCCCAATCTCGGCCATACCAGGGCATTTGGGGGCCTTTATTGTCATGTTCACCAGTAAATAAATATTTAAGTGCTTGATACTGTTTTCCTATTTCGAAGATGATTTTAATTACCGGATAAAAGTTGGTTAATAAACCCTGTGCTAATTAGAATACAGTGGCAAGTTGGTTAATTCCAACTTCAGACTTAAGCTTTCTATGAGTTGATTCAGTTTATCAATATTCATAAAATTAACTTGATCATCTATTGTCTACTTTCTAAATTATTTGCGGTCATTATAAGCAAAGATGGATAGTGACTAACTATGAAATCCAGGACGCGCGTTTCGTTCTATCTTTGACTCGGCAGCTGCATATATCTGAATCCCAGAGTTGATGTTCACTCTGGGACTAGAACCCAGTACCGTCCGCTTTAAACGCTATCGCGTTATCCACTTAGCTACTGAGTCCTGATAGCCACTTGCTTATGCAATAGGGTGAAACAATATTTGTGGTCATGTTTTATAGTGTACTGTTAAATGTAGAAATCATTAACAATTTATAGTCTAATATAAAATAATATTAGTCTTTTAAAATAATTTTGTTATTTCAGTTTACTTACATATTTTTGTTCCAAATATTAAAACCCATTATTAATAATAAATTAATGATTTTTGTTATTAATAGCCGTTGATAATGTAACTTTCAGAAAATCCAGTGAAACAATCAAACATCAAGTTTTTAACTCAACAAACTTACCTGAAGTCTATGATATACTAATGAAATCAAATAAAACACTTAGTGAACCCACTAATAAACCTCATATTAAAAAAGTTACTCTACCTACTAATATATTTAACAATAAAAATATACAGACTATAAATATTAATATTAATGATGCAAATCAAATCTTTCAACAACGAATCGATTCTTTGTTAACAAATACTAATCTTGATGAAAACTGTTCAGATGGTAAACAATTACATACTTTTAAAAAACTACAACAAATTCAACTTAATGAAGATATTTGGCCTCCTTTAGTAATCAGTTCATATCCAGGTAAAAAAAAATACGTGTTGTCTTTTAGAAAAAATACTTATTTCCATAAATATGAATTCTACCTTATGTGATATATATATATATATATATATATATATATATATATATATATATATATATATATATGACATGTTGTCATGTATATAATACGTAGCAAATTGCAATTTATTAACTCTTAATTGTCATATTTGTTTATAACAATAATTTTATTGAGTAGTATATGTCTATTACTCGTTAAAAACTCGAAAAAAAAAACAATTTTCATATTACTCCAAATGTATATAGTTTCACGGAATATTCATAATTACATGTCGTTTTTTAGGATTTTTATCTATAAATCTATTGCACCCTATATTTTTATTATTTATTTATTTGAACACATAAATATTGGTACAGGGGGGCACCAAATATATATGCGCCACACAAAACAATGATAATTTGAAGAGAAAGGAGAAAAAAAAGTAATGGACGTGGGGAATTATAAAAAAAAAGGAAGAGAGAGAACAATGGTGGGGAAACGGAAAGGTACAATCAGAAGAAATCTTTCAGTTAAGGAAGATACAACCACTTTTTATGAAGAAAGTAAAAGAAAATTACAGCAGGATCGCTACTGGCTTCTATTCTGAACCATATCTGATAACGTCTCTAGCCACTGCATTACACCGTCTTTCGGACCCCAACCAGGGAGTCGTGAAGGACCAACAGAAGCTAGCCCTTTACAGCTTTCTTTCATATCGCCACACCATGTTATATACTGACCACCTCTCCGCTGTCTCCAACCAGTCCCAGAGTCGGCAAATAATGCACGACGAGGAATTCTCTGGGACGACATTCGTAAAACTTGTCCAAGCCACCGAAGTCGGTGTTTCAAGATGGTGACACCAATTGCATTATCGTCTCCGTGCCCGAACACACGATGCCGAACCTCTGCATTACTGACATGGTGTTGCCACTGGATGCCAGCAATCCTTCGGAGACGACGATGATCGAACACAGAGAGTCGTCTAACATCCTCAACTCGGAGAGGCCAGGTTTCACAAGCACAGAGCAAAACTGCTCTCATCGCCGCGTTCTAGACCCGACCTTTTACAGCCAGACTAACATCACGAAGGCGCCAAAGATGGCCCAGATTGGCATAAGCCGCTCTGGCTTTCACTATACGTGCATTGATCTCATCACTCACGCCACCACCAGCACTTATGCAGCTACCCAGATACACGAACTTCTCGACTACTTCTATCTGCTCACCATCCAGAGTGAGTACAGGATTAGAATCCTGCCAGTCTTGTAGAAGTACTTTGCACTTCGAAGGTGCAAAGCACATACCATACCTACGGACACTGATTGCCAACTGATTAAGTGCGGATTGCATAGCTTGGGCATTCTCGCACAGTAAGACAATATCATCCGCATACTCAAGGTCGAGAAGTCTTTCTCCTATCGGCGGCCTGCTTGAATATCTGGGCTACCTGTTCCTCCCATCTAGATATTTCGTCAAGTTATCTGTTTGTTTTTTATTTGTTTGTTTTAACACATTATTATGTCTATTGAGCTCACAACCTATTCAGGTACGTTTATGAAAAGTTTACAACCTTTCGCTGTACGGATTACAAAAAAGGTACAACCACCGATATCATGGTGGCTTGCAATATTGCATTGAAACGAATGAACATTATTCAGACGTCGATAATCGAACTCCTAACATTTAACTGGCTATCACTCAATATTTATTGTCAGGATCGATCAAGATATAAGAAAAGGAAACTTGTTGAAATACTTTATACTGACAATTCAATATTGTACCGAAAATATAATATTGAATAAAGCTTATGATAAAAAAAAGTAATAATGAAGAATTTATTCTTGTAAACAGTAAATACACTTCGCAATAGAGAGAGTGTAATACTCAAATCATGTAGCAGACTATTCATATGAAGAAAAAAAATTAGGTCACGGTAGTTTTTGTACTGTTCATATGATCTGACTCATGGTACGCCTTCTATGTATTTTATGGTATGTGTCAAAGTTTCTTCATACTTTTGATTCTTATATTAAGTACTAAAGATCCTTTGTATAGGACATTATTCAGATGATCAACTACTTTCCCATGTTATTAATTCAAACCATTTCATCATCCGGCCTAAGTGATTTACAGACACACCAATGGGAACAATCGAATGTATTTCAGCAAATAATTATAGAGCATCTCAATAAAATCTGAGAACCATATATTAAATCGTTAATTTGCAAAATATCAATGCATCATATCACACTTGACCGTTCCTGTTGCAAATATCAATCCATTGTCTCAGATTTCATTGTTCATGAGTTTTCATACAAATTGCATTGTGTTCTCACTCTTCCTTTCTTGATCTTCCTCCATCTTCTGCTGCCAGACATTACGTTCCTAACTCGCGTCATATACTACTTATATCAATATAAGTAGCGCACACCACACTGTTGTCCTCTTATCTGTTGGAATGAACTATTAAACGACTAATAACTTTCTAGATCTTATAGATATTCAGTCATTCTCCGAAACGAGAAGTAACTTCACTATTAATTGTCGTTATGGTTTTCTCCCGCGTCCGTAATGGGTTGTTTACGTAGGTTGGTGTTATGTTGTGCATGTTAGTTTATATTATAGTTAAACGTTTCGTGATTTTGCTTACATAAATGATAATAATTCGACATACTCAGGTACTGTATTTACTAACGTTCGATTATTGGCTGTGCAAACTTTTCCTGTTTTCAAAACTAAGATTTACAAAACCATCAAATTTAAGAACTCATGTGGTTTCATACATAAAATACAAGACTATAATGCACCATAATTAATGAATTCTAATAGAGGCATAACCAGGACACTTATGGGACAAGTCTGAGTAGCAGGTTTATAACCAAATAACGCTTAAAGTTTCACTTTTTCATTTATTTCTTCAATTTCTTATAACCGGATACATCATAGAGACTTGGACCATAAAATAATTATCATAAGTAGTTGTGTAAGAGATTTATTGACGAGTTAATGTTTTATTTTGTCATTTAGTTGTTAGTCCAATAACTGATGAATAAGCATGTGTATGTATATGAAACGTATCAAGTAGCTAGTTTTACGAGTTATGGTACTAACTTGTCTTGATTTTCAGTAATTTCTGGTTCATTCATACTATACCAAGTATAGATAAGAAAAGTAAATTATTTCCCCCAATGGTTGCCTCTTCTGTAAGTAACTTTTTAAACATGGCGAATTTCAGACAAGCCTTAAGACGATCGCAAATAGTGGTAGTGCTTAGGATTAAATATCCATCGGACTGGAGGTCAACATGATATAACTTCTAGATGATTGCATAGAAAGATTGTTTTAAATCTCATTGGTTGAAACCTCCTGTATTCGAGTTTCTAGCTAAATTGCTTTTTGACGTTTTGCCTACATTTGGTTAACAGGCGATTGTGATGTGTTAATAGCCGTAACAGTAAGCTTGCCTGATAAACCTAGTTTCTACCTAGCCTCCAAAGTTTTGTTACTAGAATCTAAGGATGATTTAAATATGATTAAACATAACTCCGCGGTTATTGATTTAAATGTACCAACGTGGTTCACAAGAAAGGGTGTAACTCATAGATTATATACTATACTAAGGTCGACCTTGATTAAAAGAAATAAAAGCCTATTTTTTCTTTTCTATCTTTATTAAGTATGTAATTATACTCAAATTTCAATCTGTTTTGATATTTTAGAATTGGTTCTTCAATTCAATCCTCCCGTTGGACTTTTAATTTCACTTCTTGAAAATACAAACAAAAAGTCTGATGATTTGTATAATAAGAATGTCCACGAACTAACTATTGATTCAGAGAAGGGTTTTTTAGACTCAATGACCATGACACCAGTAACACAATCTGAATGCTTATCTAAGGTATTGAAACGTTTATTTAAATCCCTTTTTCTGGTTGATTTTAATCGAGAAGAAAGTTCTGTCTCATATTTTTCTTACTGCAAAGCTAAATCTATGGCTAAAAGTTATCACGCTTTAAAAAGGTAAAGAATTTAAAGATCCTTGTATATGAAGGCTTTTTGTAATTAACTAGATTTAATAGCATTGTGGATAGAAACTTGCTAATTTACACCTACTGTTCTAATTACCTAAGAGATTCTTTTCAATCACCGCCTGACTAGTTGGTAACAAACCATAATTCTTTAAATGGATTCTTCGTTGTTTACTGTGTGCTCTAGGTCATCAACATAGAATTTCAAGACAACCAAAGCTGTTTTCTAGTTAAAATGAACTACCGATATGTACAATATGAAAAGCACAAATGGGCAATTTGAGTATTGTAGTTGGCAATGTCTCAACTAAATAGGACATCATAGCTGTCAAAATATCCGATAACGAATATGATGTAATTTCTGTGATTCTCTATTTATTTTTTCTACATAGATAAAAAATTGTAATTTAGGATTTCGCACAAAATTGCTTCAGTCCAGGTTTTCATACTTCGTGACGGCATAACAAGTCATTTCATCTGAAGTACTAGATTCTAGTGAAATCGAATTTTCAACCGGTATGGTTCACGTTACTAGTTATTCGGTTTATTGTACATCAATTAAACTATTTTATTTATTTATTTATTCGAACACATAAATATTGGTACACAAGGGGGCACCAAATATATATGCGCCACACAAAACAATGATAATTTGAAGAGGAAGGAGAAAAAAAATGGTAATGAACGTGGGGAATTATAAAAAAAAAGAGGGAGAGAACAATGATGGGGAAAACGGAAAGGTACAATCAGAAGAGATCTTTCAGTTAAGGAAGATACAACCACTTTCTATGAAGAAAGTAAGACGTTACAGCACGATCGCCACTGGCTTCTATTCTTAGCCATTTCTGATAACGTCTCTAGCCACTGCGTTACACCGTCTCTCGGACCCCAACCAGGGAGTCGTGAAGGACCAACAGAAGCTAGCCCTTTACAGCTTTCTTTTATACCACGACACCATGTCATATACTGACCACCTCTCCGCTTTTTCCAACCAGTCCCAGAGTCGGCAAATAATGCACGACGAGGAATTCTCTGGGACGACATTCATAGAACGTGTCCAATTCACCGAAGTCGGTGTTTCAAGATGGTGACACCAATGGAATTATCGTCTCTGTGCCGAACCTCTGCATTACTGACATGGTGTTGCCACTGAATATCAGCAATCCTTCGGAGACAACGATGATCAAACACAGAGTCGTCTAACATCCTCAACTCGGAGAGGTCAGGTTTCACAAGCAGAGAGTAGAACTGCTCTCATCGCCGCGTTCTAGACTCGACCTTTTACAGCCAGACTAACATCACGAAAACGCCAAAGATGGCCCATATTGGCATAAGCCTCTCTGGCTTTCACTATACGTGCATTGATCTCATCACTCACGCCACCACCAGCACTTATGCAGCTACCCAGATACACGAACTTCTCGACTACTTCAATCTGCTCACTATCCAGAGTGAGTACAGGATTAGAATCCTGCCAGTCTACTAGTAAATAAAATCTGTTACCATAAATTTGTTTTAAGTTATGTTTTCTTCGACTTCTTTTGAAAGTTTTGATTTTTAAATTAGTCATAATTTATGTAAATATTGCAAAATTATGTTTTACCATATTATTTTTCTGGTCTTTATCTTTGAAGTTTAGTTTAGAAATTACTAGCCTATGTGAGGTCTTTTCTCATTTTTGTAAATAACATGGCATTATTACCCTGGAGTTAATTTACATCATTTTAAAAAAAAATTAGGGTTTATCATCAAATGCACTTTTGTCCTTTCGTTTCACACGTGTGAATGAAGTGGTTTTAGAATTTATTAGCAGAGATTGTGATCTATACCTAAATAAGAGGAAAAAATCTAAACTGACTCTGAATGTGTAAGGACGGTTTTAAAGGTGCAGTTTCTGTTTCATAACCTAGAGAGTCAATTGCTAGTTTAGAATTTATAATGATCAGTGGTTATGTTTCACTGATAGACTATGTTAGTGGAATTCAGATTGGATTAAAGCACATTCCGTGAAGGACACTCTGATTGGCTATTTTTTTTAAACAATCAGCATTAACGGATACTTGGGGCAGACTAGTATCTTCTCGCGTAAAAACTATAAATATACTGGTATTTTTCTTATTGTAACTCTTACACTTCCATTTCTTTCCTTTCCAATCGTGTTCTGATTTGAGGACTTGTCGAGTAGTGAATTGGTGTCCAAAAATACTAAGCAATAGGGATAGCTGGGTCGTAATAAAGGGAATAGATTCATCGAAGATTTTATTTTTGATCAGTTCACAATAGGTATGTGTGGGACTGACCATTAATTTTCTTTGATCTCCTGATATTTAATCATGTCGTAATAATTATGAATTACTTTGGTATGTACAGGAAATATCACTGTTTAGTTGAATGTGTGAATTTTCATTAACTTTCCTATTTACATAAATTTAATTACCAATGAGTAGCAGTTTTACTGGTCACATTCACCTTTTCATCTGTATAATTCAGTTTAATTGTAATCGTTATCAAGAATTTTGTTTAAATTTTCCTTAGTCAGATCATGTGTCTCCTGGTATAACAATAGCTCTTACTCGGAATCTTCATATTCGTGTTCATCCAACTGAATTAAATTGCTGTTTAAAGCAATCAGCTTGGTGTTTTTCATCGAGTGGCTTTTATCAGTTTGGTCAAGAAGAAATTGTAATTCTGTTACGTAGACGTTTTGATGAAAAACTACCACCAATGGAGATATTTTATCAATACTGGCTTATATATCAAGCTTTAGTGAATTATGCTGAGAAACAAGTTAAAAGTGATGTTAATTTTGGTAAGTATCAAGTGGTTTTCCACCATTTATATTGCTGGTATTCTGTATCCTGATGATAGATGCCTGTAATTTTTTACGTAGTTCTTATTCCATAAATCGACATTAGCGAAACAAAAGTTTCTTTGTTTCTCTTGTAACTTATTACTAGTAATCGTTCATTATTCAAGCACTGATAGTCTTTAAAAATCTCTGGATTAGCTCGAAATGTGAGATTTAGTCTCCCTTCCTAAAATAACTATCTACTGCATTACCTAGCTACACTACGTATATGCAACAACTATTTTTCCCATTATATACGTAACCCCAATTGCACGTTCTTATTGAAGGCAGAAAGAAAACCACACTGAATTTACTAAGGCTTGAATACTCTTTGGTATTCTAGAGTATGATCTATATCTATATCATAGGACATCAAACAGGTATAACTGGAAATATGCTTATTCAGAGAATGTTGTATTCCATATAATATTTTTTATCATTTCCTTTTACATAAATGTTTTCATCTACAAGATTTTTCAGTTTCATTACTCCTTCTACTCATTTGTCTTTCTCCCTTCACTTAGAATCTTTCAACTCTCAAACGTATAATAGACCGTTCGGTTCAGCACCATTTCGTTCACATGATTGTTTCTTTGAAAAACTTTACTTTGCTAATGATCGTTGTTCTAGTTCACCCTGTACTGAATCAGATATGACGAATGGTTACTATTGGCCTAATTCCAGATCTTTAACAAGTAATAATTATGGAAGTAGCAATCCATATGGATTTGTATTTTTCCATCCAACTCACCAATGTTTATTAGGCCTACATCTACCGAATCCACCGTTCTTAATCGCTCTACTGGTGCATATACAAGAAGCACCTTGGGCATATCATCTACCGAGTAGAATTTTATTGAATCTAGGCAAAATGTCACATTATTATCCAACTACTTTGTTATCCGACCGTGATCGCAAGATTTTATTTGATTGTAAACTAGACGGAGAAAGCTTCTTACAATTATTCACTAATATAAAACCATTTATCTATCCAGATTTCATGACATTTACACCTAAACAAAGATGTATTCCATTACCAGAATTATTATTTCATATAAATGGATTCTATGCACATTTGAATGTAGTTAAAAGTGAATCGGACACGAATACTACTACTACACATAATAATGGTGTCGAAGATGTAATTGTGGAGCTTCTAGTAAGTCTGAAAAAAATTGTTATCTATGTGATTTCCTAGCTGATCACTTTATTCATTTTGCTTTTCCTCATGTTGTTTGGAATAGTACCTTCAAATATCTGTCTTTAATTGGCATATTTTGCGTGTCTTGACAAGTCAGATCAACTCTGATTCTTTTTTCATCCTACGATCCGATTCAGCCACAATGCATAATTCCTATTTGTAGATTAGCTGTGTGTGAAGTAATAAGATAAAGATAGGATAGAATTTTGTAATGTTAAAGGCTGAATGGGTATTGACACAGGTTGTGTTGTGTATATATATGATAATAGATTAATGCACATAAGGGTATGCAAGTGATGAACTTAACCTGATGAATAATCCACTCACAAAATGCTCTCCGACATTTTGATTTCTCACTCACCATTTGTCTTTGAGGAATCATGTAACCTGTCTGGTCTAGTAATAGCATATGGTTCCATCAGGATTTTCCGACATACCGTTCTTCCATATACCTTACGCAGTAAAAAAAAGTGTGATTCGAACAATCTTCGTATCTATCACAGCACTAACTTCGCTGTCTGAAATACATTTTCAGTACAGTCATTTCTATCTATTAATGTTATGTTTTTAAGTTAAAATATTCACTTCAAAAGATACAACCTCTCTCAAAAACCTCAGTCTGAGTTAAATTTTTATCCGCTACCTCATATTGGTCTTTTAATCAATTGCTCAATGGAATTTACTTGGTATTGTTATTATGAATACCAAACATTCGATGTGATCATCATAATACCTTTGTAATCATTACTACAGTTTTTTATTCTTCTTCCTTTTATCAAATTCAGATACCCATTTCTTCATGTGCTTCTGTGGCTAGGTTTCTAGACTCGAGTGCTATGGAGTCAATGACATTTGCCCTATCAGCCGATTGTAACCCAATGTCCGATTCCCATTTAGTTTGTTCGCAGTCAAAAATACTACGCAAAGGTTCTAAAGACAACCACAATAAGTTAATTTGTCAGAATGTGACCAATTCACAAATGGCCTCAAATCTAAATTATCTTACTGATCAAAATTGTTTTCAAACCTTCGAGACTGAGGCTATTTCAATTGAAAATACAAGACTCAAGGTATTCATTATATTTATTGGTTATGCAAAGCTTACAAGTGACTACCCGTTTAACTCAACTCATCAGTTTTTGTTGTTGAGATTATAGTTCAAGGTCCTGTTACTTTCTAAAACGCGATTTGCTTATACTTAGTTACTCTTTAACACATATATACAACTATTTATTTATTTAAACACATAGACATTGGTACATAGGGGCACGGGAATATATGTGCATCACACAATAAGAAAATGACCTGCGACCAACGAGTCCTCAGTGACCACCCAAAGAGAATGTTACCCACGTACGTTTCTCACTGATGAAACAGCGCATCGCTGATGTCTTATACAGGTCTTGGAGATGCAGAAGATATCGATCTCCATACTTCTAAACGACATCTAAATCTGCACTTGTGAGAACAATGAAGCTGTCCGGTTCAAACGGTATACATGGTTTCAGGAAACCTGTATCGAGTATCGCTCTCGGTGGATTCAATCCTTCAGCAACTTGAGACTATTTACACTGGTTATGACATTCACCGAAGACGAGTTTCTGAGTGTGTTAAAGTGTAAAAGTATACACGAAATGAAAAGAAAGATAAAGTGGCTGAAATAAATCTGCTTGTAACTAGGTATTTGTAAATATCATTTACATGAATAGAAAGGGGGACTGGAAACACTTCCTTCGTTAGTAGAAATCATTATATTTGTGTGTGGGTCGGGATACAGTCCAGGCACCCAAACCGAAGCATATGGTTTTCTCAACAGACCGCTCGCCGAACTTTTGACTTAGAGGTCTAATTCACAAGACAGCGTAGAAATGTTAGGAGATGCCGTCCCATGGTATCTGGTGACCAAGAATGTGTTCATACGCCAGCCCATGTCCACCATTGGTTTGGAATTAGGGATTTCTAACTCCCACAGGTGAGTCCTCCGTACCCACCGACCCAGTTTAAGCACCGGACGTTCGCTTTTCGTCCTCTCAAATTTCGTACACAACACCCCCACCACGAGAAGTTAGTGAGTAGGAGTTCCCTGGCAGTGGCTATATACCCGTAGTCATGTGAGAGCAATTTGAGAGAGATAACAGGCTCTTTCCACTCTCGTGCGTACCAGGCCATTTACGGAATACGTTAGACCTCATTCGTAATCCAGGTGATCCAGGAACGGTGGTGTAAAAAGCGCGTATGTTCCCAATTTTGTGGTACACGTTATATCGTTGTAGTGCAAAAGTAATAAATAAATGTTTCATTTTTTTGTTTACAGGTGACTGGTCTGAGCTTTGTAGCTTTTTCTGGTCATGCCTCATTTTGCAGTGCAATAATCGTCGAGGATGGAATATATATTTCTTTGACAAGTTTAAAATTTCATCAGCTTGTCAATAGTTTGAAAAATGGTTACGATTTATCAATTCCTATACGATCAAGTCCTAATATCCAACCATCTACAATAGTAGAACATATCAATGGTGATTTTGGAGATGATATTTCGAATCGTGATCTACTTAATGGAAATGTTGCCTCATCAGTTCACGTAAAGTGGTTTAAAGTGTTTGATTCATTTTTATCAAGTGCTTCATTTAGCACTACCGTTACTCCATATTGCGTAAGTTTTTAAACTTCATGCTGTTTCAGAAATCTTTATTACGTTCTTGTCTCTTTTTTCTTTTTTGTTGTTTGTTATCGCTCCTAAATGTTTCGTTCAATCTGTAAGACACCATAATCCATGAAAAATGATATATATCACCATAGTTTTAAAATAAAATCAGTCTATATTCTTGTATATTTACCATAGTAAAGTAACTTAGGAGTTGATACTTTTTTGACTGACTGCATGCGGTTGATAGCTCTGCTGAATCGCTTTAATTTTCTTTATCATAACTAGATATATGAATAAAATATCTTCCATAATAATTCCTTCAATTTATTATAGCTGTTTACATAATACTGCTTGGAAAATCAATGGTTAAGTCTATTTCATGTTACTAGCACAAGTAATCCATTTTTGTTGTTGTTGATTCTTCTCTGTTCTGTGGTTGGACATAAACCATTTTCAAGTATTAACACAGTGTGCCCCCAAATGCCCTGGTACGGCCGAGAGTGGGGAGAGTCCGCTCTCCCTCTCCAAATGCTCTCACATGGCCACGCGTATATAGCCTCTGACAGGGTAGTCCTACTCACTGCCTTTTCGTGGCATTACTGTTGTTTACGAAAATGAGAGGACGAAAAGCGAATGTCCGATGCTTTAACCGGATCCAAAATCAATGGTGCACATGGGCTCCAGTATCCTGAAGGAACAAACAGTGTATGAACCAATCTTTGGTCACCGGCTACCATGGGACTGCATCTCCTTACGATGCTGCACTGCCTTGTGGGTCAGACGTCCAGGTCGAAGGCTCGGGGTGTGGCCCCCTAAGAAAACCACCTGCTTCGGTTTGGGTACCCGAGCAGTATCACAGCCCTCACACATATCAAATGAGATTTGTGTGGTGCATATATATTCGATGCCTCCTTGTACCAATATCTATGTGTTAAAATAATGATAATAATAATAATTAACACAGCGTTCTCAATTCGTTTAGTGTTATCTTTACAGTTTAGTGATACATTAATCCTTGTTTCTGAATAAATCGCTTCATATTTTAGTTAGGTGTTGTCTACTGTTTTTTTTTTAAAAAACCCTTTTCTTGTACTGGGAGAGAAATGTAAATCACTTTAATGCTATTCAAGTTATATTGAATGAAACATTTATTGTTAAAGGTTCTGCCATTGCTAGCAGGGTGTTTGCAAAGAGTTTGAACCAAAGACAGCCTATTATTATGAATAAATTACGATAAGGGGATTCCTAGAACTAGACAGATGAATCGTTTGAAAAGTTCACCAAACAATTACACAAACTCACTGAAAGGTCTTTCTTAGAATGCTATTTTCCGAGTTATTGCTTGTACAAAAAACCATAGCAATTAATTCTATTACGGGATGCCCATCTGAACTGACTAATTTATTTAGTTTAATCGTATCTAAGATTAGAAGCTGATTTTTCTAAGGTTGCTCTATCGACTAGAACGTGATATTTATCCACCTAAATAAAATGCTTCAAACTTAATTTATTTTATCATTACATTTAGTCAAAACTTGAAAAGTAACTGTGTCAAATATTATTTTAACACATAGATATTGGTACAACGAGGCACTAAATACATATGCGCCACACAGATCTCATTGGATATGTGTGAGGGCTGTGATACTGCCCGGGTACCCACACTGAAGCAGGTGGTTTTCTTAAGGGGCCACACCACGAGCCTTCGACCTGAAGATCTGATCCACAAGGCAGTGGAACAACGTAAGGAGATGCAGTCCCATGGTAGCTGGAGATCAACGATTGATTCATACGCCATTCGTTCTCGCAGGATACTGGAGCCCATGAGCACCATTGGTTTGGGATCCGGTTATAGCGCCGGACATTCGCTTTTCGTCCTCTCATTTTCGTAAACAACAGTAATGCCACGAAAATGCAGTGAGTAGGACTTCCCTGGCAGAGGCTATATACGCATGGCCATGTGAGAGCATTTCGAGAGGGAGAGTGGACTCTCCCCACTCACGGCCGTACCAGGGCATTTGGGGGCACAGATTAAGCAAAGATGGATAGTGGCTATCAGTGGAATCCAAGAAGCGCGTTTCATCCTATTTGGGATGTACCTGCATCGCAAATTTCATGTCCACACCGGGACTCGAACCCATTACCGTTCGCTTCGAACGCTATAGCATTATCCACTTAACTACTGAGTCCTGGTGGTGTCAAATATACTATTTGATAACCTTATTATCATCGGGTCATGTTTAAATTTTTCTTCGATGAGCAGATTTTAAGTGGAATAGCATTTTAATATATTTTAAGTAATATTTCCCTCGTTTCCTTAAGTGCTGAATTTAATCTTTAGACTAATTCTGCCGACATATGGGATTTGGAACCTATTACTACATTCTTAGTGCCAGTTCATTACCAATTATGGCACTGGATACATCTGAATAAAAGCATTATCCCAAATAGTGAAAGTCAATTAAGTTCTTTATCGACTACCAAATCAAGTGATACACCGTGTTTACGATTGGCATGGATTCGATTTCATGTGTTAAACATCGATCAACTGGAATTTATTGGTACATCCTCAAGTAAAACAATAACTTTTGGACATTTTTCTAATGAAGTTGCTGAATGTGTAATCAAAGTAAGTTTAATCCAAAAAAAATTTCAAAACTTTTAAGTCAATTACTTTTCTATCCATTCACTAAAACTTGTATTAGTGTGGGTTATTAATTAAGCCAGCTTCAATGCAATATGATCTGTATTCTAAGTTTAGAAATATACTAGTGAAACTCAATCTTTAAAAAGCCTCCTGAGGTTTCACTCTAGTTTAACACATACAGAAGCGTCAGTTGTGAAGCAGATGAATACAGTGGATTGACCCCAGTTATCCTCGTGCTAGATTATTTCAGACCACGACTATAATTTATGAACGACGTTTGAGAGATATAAAAGTAACCTTGAGACACCTCAGTGAGTCATTAGGGATATGAATTAGTATGATGAATCATGATTAAGAGTTAGGATAACAAATATTATTGCTAGGGTTTTCATTATAATCTCATATCAGATAAAATGACAGAATACTGCTTATCAGACAGGACATATACTCTTACTCACTAACTTCTCGTGGTGGGGGTGTTGTCTACGAAATTTGAGAGGACGAAAAGCAAACGTCCAGCGCTTAAACTGGGTCAGTGGGTACGGAGTCCTCACCTGTGGGGGTTAGAATTCCCTGATTCCAAACCAATGGTGGACATGGACTGGCGTATGAACACATTCTTGGTCACCAGATACCATGGGACGGCATCTCCTGACATTGCTACGCTGTCTTATGGATTAGACCTCTAAGTCAAAAGTTCGGCGAGCGGTCTGTTGAGAAAAACATATGCTTCGGTTTGGGTGCCTGGAGAGTATCCCGACCCACACACAAATATAATGATTTCTACTAACGAAGGAAGTGTTTCCAGTCCCCCTTGCTATTCACGTAAACGATAATTACAAATGCCTAATTACAAGCAGATTTATCTATGATCATATATATACACATGACCTGTGTCAATACCCATTCAGCCTTTACCATTACAAAATTCTATCCTATCTTATATGAAATAATAATTCTGGTAATGGAATACATCTTTGTTTAGGTGTAAATGTCATGAAATCTGGATAGATAAATGGTTTTATATTAGTGAATAATTGTAAGAAGCTTTCTCCGTCTAGTTTACAATCAAATAAAATCTTGCGATCACGGTCGGATAACAAAGTAGTTGGATAATAATGTGACATTTTGCCTAGATTCAATAAAATTCTACTCGGTAGATGATATGCCCAAGGTGCTTCTTGTATATGCACTAGTAGAGCGATTAAGAACGGTGGATTCGGTAGATGTAGGCCTAATAAACATTGGTGAGTTGGATGGAAAAATACAAATCCATATGGATTGCTACTTCCATAATTATTACTTGTTAAAGATCTGGAATTAAGCCAATAGTAACCATTCGTCATATCTGAGTCATTACAGGGTGAACTAGAACAACGATCATTAGCAAAGTAAAGTTTCTCAAAGAAACAATCATGTGAACGAAATGGTGCTGAACCGAACGGCCTGTTGTGTGTTTGAGACATACGATTTCAATGTGATGTCATGCGTTTTTGATCTGTTGATAATAGGTATCAGTCAGTCAGTCAGTCAGTAACAACGTGGAACTTCGTACGTACGTACATCATTTCGAGTTGCCATACCACATTAGCACAGAGATTCAGTTATAGATTCAAATCCCGTAGTGGTAGAGGTTGAGAAAGTATAAATAGTGATAGGGAACAGTAGGGTTTGATGATGTTATTTAAGGAGTATAGTCAAGTGGAATAGATTTGGAAAGAAAATAAAGGACATGAAGAAATTAGAAGATTAGAGTTTGAGAGAACACAAAGAGTGGATGCACCTGCGCCATTGCAAACGATTTTGAGCCATGTCATTCAAGATCACCAACCATCGGTTGCTATCGTCTCACTGACCCCAACCAAGTAGTCTACATCTACCAACATGGCTCCGTCCACTTGTCAGTGACTTCATGGATTTGTGCCATGTTTTGGTTTGGCTGCCCCTAGCTTTCTTCCAAGCTATTCCTACACCATAAAACATCGCACGTCGGGGCAGTCGGTGGTCGGGCATGCGCAACACATGTCCGAGCCATCTCAACTGATTAAGTTTCACTACTTCATCAATTGATTTGCCATTCTTACCTAGTACCCGTTTCGTAACAACTGCATTACTTACTCGGTGGTCCCAGGATATACGAGCAATGTTTCGAAGACACCTGTGATCAAATACTAGTAACCTACGAATATCCTCTACTCTTGCCGGTCATGTTTCACTGCCATAAAGTAGGACGGAACGAACTGCTGCGCAGTAAACACGTCCTTTGGTTGATAGACGGATATCTCGCCTACGCCACAAATGATGCAAGTTGGCAAAAGCTAGTCGAGCCCTCTGTATCCGTGCTGAAATTTCGTCACACAGCAGACCACAAGGGCTGATGAGACTTCCAAGATAAGTGAAACGGTCGATACGCTCAACTACTTCACTCCCTATCACTAGTTCCGGTGTCGACGCAACCCAATCCTGAAGCAACATTTTGCATTTCGAGGGGGAAAATCGCATCCCGAACATGCCTGAATTGTTGCTTAGAGTGGTCAGCAGACTCTGAATTTTGTCAGCGTCTTCACTAAATAGAACTATGTCATCGGCTTATTCTAAGTCAACAAGTGAATCTCCCGGTAGAAGTTCAACCCCTGCAAATTTAGATGAGGAAAGTGTCATTTCTAGAAGGACGTCAACAGCAAAGTTAAATAAGAATGGAGAGAGTGGACAGCCCTGGCAGCTATGGTATGTGGTTTGCACCCTCTGTTTGCAATGTATTTTCTCTAGATTGATATTTCATTGAACTTGCACTGTTTGTGATTTACAAGGAAATGAAAGAATCTATGTATTCGGAACCGTTGCATTTACTCGATCGTAACGCTTATACCTTGAGTCGAAATCGAATGCTATATCCGTGAAAAACTTGTGTTAATATGTTTTCCCGGTTCTATAGAAACACTTGTCGTTACAAAACTATAACAACATCATGTTTTAGACCAAAGTGCAATCACTTATTCATTAAATTTTAAACACAGTTATTAGAAACATAGAGCTGTGATATATATTATAACGCTAAAAATCGCTGAATATATTACAGCTGAACTGATAGACGGAACAAAGTTCTTATATTGAACGAAGTGCACTCCTGTGAATCTGGCGAAAATCTATGATGAACTGATACAAAAATATTGACCTGAATAACATCGTCTTTTTATCCCATTATATCAATAAGTGTTTGATCTATTTTATCTTTAAGTCATTGCATTATTTCTCAAGACTTGTATTACTACTACAATAATTTACTTGGGTTTTCCATAGCTTGTTGTGAAATGCTTACCTCTTGATTTATCTTATAGGCGCTTCGACCTTACCTTGGTCATCTCCTAAACAATAATCGTACACAAATCACACTACGCATTCTGTTGCAACCACCAGATCAGGTTGGCTATCGGATGGGTGCTTCATGTCAGGAGGTATACACACTGCACAATCAACTGGATTCATCAAACGATCTTGTAAATGTCAGCTGTGAAAATTGTGAAGAAATGTATGCTGATGCATTAGACGACATACTGTTGCCTGTATTATCTTCATGGACTAGTTGTTTAAAAATTGTCGATCTAAATATAAAGGAAATCGAACGTCGCTCACTGGGTACTTCTAATTCTTGTTATCATCCAAATGAAATAATTCAGATGGAATTTGATTTTTGCATTTTAAACTAAAGTTATGTCAGCTAGGAAAGTATATTAGATATAACATCTGTATCAAACGCTACAAAATAATCTGTACCCAATTATTCGGATCTTTGTTTCTTATTGTTCGTTCTACTTTGTTATTTTGTTTAATTGATCCTTCGATTAGGTTATCTCAACAGTTTACTTTGTTAAGTAGCATAATTTATTTGCTACTCTCCTAAACCAGTGTTCCCTATTTTCTCTGTTTATGTACATAGTGATTTACGTGTTGACCTTCATTCATTTATTGTGATAACTTGTATTTGTAAGTCCTGGTTCCTTATTTTTATTGTTATCTAATTTCGATTTGAATATCCATGAAATAGTTTATTAAGTGAAATTGAAGATTTTTTTTTCCAGTTGTTTCTTGAGGTGAAAGTCGTCTTGCTTTTTTCAAAAACTCTTTCGAAAGATAAGACACAATATTCGCTTTTTAAATAAGTCCAACATCGAGAACAAAGAATATTTCGTTGCTAAATGTCGATCTTAAGATGAGTAAATAATATGGTTTTCAATAAGATTGAATCATTAGACCAGTCTGAACCATCCTGCATATGTACATCTAAACAGTATATGTATAGTTTATTTGAATTATGGCTAATCAAAAAAAAAAAAATCGCATCTCATCCTGTTTGCTACTCGTCAGCTGGATCAAAATATAACAAAAGTTGAGCAAACTTACATTTTTGTTGTTGAATTTCTAAGCAGTGCTTAGTTTCATGTTACCAGTATAACACCACTGTACTATGATTACGGTATATCTACACATCACGCTAATTGCAGATTACTCACTATTATTATTTCTCCTACTATTTAACCATTCTCAAGCTTATTTACCATGAATCACAACTTTTTACACTTATACTTGACCCGTCAACCTTAACCACTATGTCAGTATATCTTTAATATTTGGATATTTGTAAATCAGGTACTGAAAAATGTCAGTGAAATTTGTTAAAACTCTTCACAAATTTGACACAAGCCAACCTAACTTGTCTATGCATACAAAAATCTGCCAACCAATCATATTTCGGGTATTCTGATTCATAATGATCTTCGCGGCTATCAAGCATCTAAGAACAGCTTAGTTCATTGAGTTGACATCTTATGAAGGGAAATTTTTCAATTGTTTTCAAACTTTGACTACCGGACACCCAAGTCGAAGCGCCGGAAGTAAATTGGCTTCGGGATGAATAACTACGTCCACAATCCTCTGCTTAATGTACCTTATACGGATATATTGCTGTACGCTGACTGCTTTTACTAAAGAGAAGTCATTGTCATCATAACAAAGCTGGCGAATCAATGAAAACTTGGTATTTTCGATAAAATTGACGTAGATAACGATTCCCTTGAATATCTTGTGATTAACATAGCAAATAAATGGTTTTTCTTCCCATGTCACATATTTCTACAAGATGCATCGATTAAATCTATGATGAACAGGCAAAAATCAAAACAAGCACGCTTATATTGGTCGGAGTAGTGTAATCAACCTACACATAATGTACAGAACACATGAAATTTAGTTCATTTAGGTGAATGTTATTAAGCTTAAACATATGGGAAAGCAGATTCAATACTTCGCTGTTATAGTGAAGGCTCTTTGTCAATCTATATTTGCCTGAATAACCTTTTACTGAATTAACTGTGAGTTGGTCTTCTTGAGCTGAATATTTTGGTGAACTTTCTTAAGAGAATACTTAAATCCACACTCATACCTCTGCGATGAAAGTGGGACAATCCTCTCTTGATGTGCTTTACAGATCCATTCGAAAATAGGCGTGATAAGAGTTTAAGACCTCCAAATGCCCTAGTACGGCCGAGGGTGGAGACTGCTATCCCTCTCGAACTGCTTTCACATGACTACGGGTATATAGCCACTGGGGGTGTTGTTTACGAAATTTGAGAGGACGGAAAGCGAACGTCCAGCGCTTAAACCGGGTCAGTGGGTACGGAGGACTCACTTGAGGGAGTTAGAAATCCCTAATTCCAAACCAATGGTGAACATGGACTGGCGTATGAACACATTCTTGGTCACCAGATACCATGGGACGGCATCTCCTAACATTTCTACGCTGTCTTGTGAATTAGACCTCTAAGTCAAAAGTTCGGCGAGCGGTCTGTTGAGAAAACCATATGCTTCGGTTTGGGTGCCTGGAGAGTATCTCGACCCTCACATAAATCGAATGACGGAGTGTAGCGTATATGTTGGCCTTCCTTGTATCGGTTTTTTATGTTAAAATAAACGAGAGTTGAAATGTGCTTCATGGATAATATTCTCGCGGTTAACCCTTGTAGTGACATTTACTTTCACCGAGTAGAACAATTTGTTTTTTTTTATTAGCATTAATCAACAAACTCCGCCTGTAGATCTATAGAGTTATTGCCAGTCCTAAGCGCAGGTAAAAGTGGAAGGTTGGGCATGCGGTGAGCAACTCGAGATCTGTTGTACACTAGTCATAAAGAAAATACCTTACACAAAGAATTCCATTGATCCTGTCCAAAGAATCACGAAAGTCACCAAACATGTCTGTATCATCTGCGTCTGCAACACTGGTTACATTGCGCGTCGTGATAATCGATGTTCAGGAATACGTAACACGTGACCCATCTCAGTCGGTGAAGATCTACAACCTCCTTAAATGGTGTACCATCATTCCTAATTACCCTGTGTCTAACCCCACTATTATTTATATGATCATCCCAGCAGATGCGGACAATATTTCTAAGACATCTGTGATCAGATACTAGTAACTTAAGTGTATTTTCTACTCTTAATAGCCACGTATCGCAGCCGCGCATTATACTCGTCCTTTAATTGATGGACGGATATCTCGCCTTCACCATAGGTGACGTAAGTTGGCAAGAGCCAAACCAGCTTTCTGAATACATGTAGAAATTTCCTCAGACACCAATCCACTAGGGCTGATCAGACTTCCAAGATAAGTGAAGTTGTCAACGACTTCGACTACTTCACTCCCTATCCTTAGTTCAAGTGTTTACTCAGGCAAGTCTTGGAGCAACAACTTGCATTTAGAGGGGAAGAAACGCATCCCAAACATTCTGGCATTGCTGCTCAGTGCTACCAAAACACTGTATTTTATCAGCGTCTTCACCAAACGGGACTATATCATTTGCGTTAATAAGTGGATCTTCCTGGAAGGAGACTAATGCCAAAGAATTCAGTCGATGAGAACGTTACTTCAAGTGTATCTATGAAGTTGAACAAAAATAGAGATTGTGGAGAGCCTTGTCAGACACCAATCGAGGTTGCAAAATCAGATGACAGTTCGCCATAAGCTCTGACTCGACCAGTAGTGCTCGAGCCAAGAACCCTCACAAAGTTTATATACTTCTTCCACAGAACCTCTCGTTCTACAGAGTCAAATGCTCCATTTAAGTTAAGAAAGACCACCCTTGTCGGACGCTTATAAGCATGTCTGTGTTCTAAAACCCAGCGAATGGTTGGTGCGTCCACGACCAGGTCCGAAGCTACCCTGATTTTCTCGCATTTGTAATTCACGAGTCTTAGTTAGGCGTCCGATAATCATTGAGGCTAGTATTTTAAATGCTATATTAGTCAAACTAATCCCTCAACAATTATCACAGGATGATTTTGACCCCTTCTTATATATTGTGACAATCAGAGATTTCGACCAAGCACATGGGATTACGTCTAACTTCCAGATTTTAGCTAAAACATTAGTCAACCTAACAGCCAAACCTAGACCACCATCCTTAATGACCTCTGGAGTGAACCCATCTGATCCAGCTGCACTTTCTCGTTTCAGCTGTCTCTCCACCAACAATCGAAGAAAGCAGGAGACCATCAAAACAATTAAGATTGAGAAAAGAACATAATCAGAAAACATGCGAGCAGAAGCACTGAATTCAGACATAGAAGTTACTGCAAAGATGTCTCACATTCTATCCAGAAAGATTTGGAGAAAGAACAAGTGTCAACAGACTAGAAAGAAGGATACCTCACCAAGATACCAAAGAAAGGAGATCTGAGCAAGTGTGAGAACTAGAAAGGCATCACACTACTATCGGTACCAGTAAATGTTTCAACAGGGTGCTGTTGAACTGAATAAAAAACTCAGTAGACCTCCAACATCGAGACCAACAGGCTGGATTCTGTAAGGACCGGTCACGCACAGACCAAATCGAAACAACATGGATCATTGTTGGGATTCGTCACTATAGATCAAATTTCTTGGCCATCAAAAAGCGTTCGACGGCGTAGATGTGAGAACCTTTTGGAACCACCTTTGACACTAGAGGAAGAGTAGCTGAGAAGATCATCAACATCATATGGAATTCATACAATGGGCTGTATTGCAAAGTCGTGTATGGAGGACAACTGACAGATGCGTCCCAAGTGAAGAGCGGTGTCAGACAAGGCTGCTTATTCTCGCGCTTTCTTTCTTCTGGTGGTTGACTGGCTGGATTATGAAGACCTACATATCTCACTAGAAGCACGAAATACAATAGACAGTTTAGATGCAACTAGTCGATTTGGACGTCGCAGATGATTCAGGTCTTCTATGTCACACGGTAACAGATTTAGATGAAGGCGGCCAATGTTGCAGCAACGTCTACAGTAGTAGATCTCAACATTCAAATGTGTGAAAGCAAGATCCTGAAATACAACACAGCGAGCATCAACTAAATCTCACTTGATGGAGAAGCACTGGAATAGGTGGATGCTTTCACGCAACTGAGAAGTATCATCGATGAACAAGGAGGATCTGATGTAGATGAGAATGCACTGATTGGCAAAATATGGTCAGAATTCTTACAACCGGAGAACGTATGGAACCAAAAATACCTGTCAGTCAGTTACAACATAGAAACAAGCACATAAGTACATTGGTCAAATTTGCCATATCTTATTAGCGGAACAAGTTGAACACCAAATTCATAGAAGTAGTTAGTTCATCAGCCAACATGAAAGCAAGTCTTCAATACAAAGGTCAAGACAGTCATATTGTGTGAAGCCGAGACTTAGAGGCTACTACAACCATCATCAAAATGTGTAGGTAATTATGAACAATTGTCTACGCCAGATATTCAATGTCCGTTAGCTGGATACTATCAGCAACAGTTTACTGTAGGATAGGACAAACCAGCTTGGAGATGAAGATCAATTTTGGAAAAGACGCTGGAGGTAGATAGGACATACGTTACGAAAATCATCAAACTGCATCACAAGATGGATGTTAACTTGGAATCCTGAAGGGAAGAGGAAAAGAGGCAGACCAAGGAACATACTGCGTCGGAAACTGGAAGCAGACATCAAAAGAATGAATGGCAACTTGAAAGGATTGCCCAAGACAGCTCGATAGAGAATCCTGGCGGGTGACCTACGCTCCTTCACGAGGAGTCAGTCTTTAGTAATTAATTGAGAGCTGATAATTACAATGAGCAACTAAATTTGTCGACCTGTCCAGTTATTTTTCCTTATATATTTTTGAAAAGCCCCATGCTATTCTTGGCGTTTTAACTTATTTTGCCACATCAAACTGGATAGCAAGGATAGCAGTAAATAAGCGGAGGTAAACTACGTAAGTTACTATTTTTTCCTCATCGGCTTAAAAACTCAGTGTAATGAGTGAGGAGAAACTGGTCCTAGACGCACATGATTTGTTTCTTTTTTTAATTATCCTTAATCGGTTGCATAGTCTTTTTTAATTGTCTCCATTTCTCATTAAACCCAGGTAATAATCCACTAAATTGAATTCATTACACTCCATACATTTCACCACATTACTATTACATTGTTTAATTTGTTGTTTTTCACACTTTTTAAGTTCACAAATGAAAATGTATAAAAAATTGACTGGTTAGCTGAACAATGCTTTATTTCATCGCTCAAATATAACAGACTACGTTACATTACACAAACAAAGATAGACTAGGGATCATATCTACTAGTTAGCGACTTATAAATTAGAACATGCTTAGTGTATACATTTACTAATTGGTTAGTATTATGATTCATATTGTGCTTGTGAGTTGTTCAGCAGCGTTAGACATCCCAACAAACCTTATATGGAATCGAATTTAACTTTGTTGGTATTGAGTTTGCTCATTTATATAAGTATTCATGTCTTGCGAAATATCACAGAACTCCGTATTTCATAAGATAAAAGCTTTTTATGAAAACTCTGTTGCCTTGTATATTTCATTTGCATGAAATGTGGCGGCTTTCATAAGAATAACATAGTGAGCTAAACCATCGCCTTATGATAAGGAATAAGTTAAACCTATCAAACAATAGCTATGCTAATGAGAACATTTTAGGGTAATACAGTATGGCTAAAAAAAATCCCTAAAATATCATGATCATAAGTTGGACACAACTCTAATCTGATCAAGTGCGATAAAAATGGACTAAAAGTTGTCTGTACGGTGAAAAATTGTTTCATGGAAAATCGGTTATCGATTTCAGTAATCAACGCTCTTTAGTTGTAGTAACCAGTGAATGTTAATTGTCACAAACAATAATCTGCATCTTTAGAGTATTTAATTTGGAAAAATAATCGAACTCATTATCGGAACGAAGTGTAATCCACTTCCTAATTTCGATTACGTTTGGAGTAACTTATAAAATGGATTTCAAATTTAATAAATACCTGAAAGTGTGTGGGACAAATAGGTGGATGGTGATCAATTGTATGTCAAAATAACTTAATAAGTGTTCCAATTAGCTTTCCTAATGTTTGAAACAAAGTTAGTGAGTGAGACAATAGTTGAATGCAACGTTGCCTTTTTGCTGCACAATATCTCATTCGAAAAATCACGCAGCACCGGTGTTCATACAAACATTTTACAGGAAAGATTTACAAGCGTAGTCTTTTTTCATATTTGGTTTTATTTAAGCCCTAACTAGAAGCGTTAAACTACACTAATTTTTAAACAAATAACAACGTCAATACTCCTAATTAGTCTTGTAATACTTAGAGCAAGAACTTAGGGTCCTCAGACCCTAATATTCTTCCTTCCACAAGTGATCGAATATTATACCACCCCACTGAGAATGTCCCTAAAATACCTATGAGAAGCTTTATCATCAAACAACTTAACACTGAATATAGAACTGTTACAAACTCACCAGTAAATGACTATGACTAAATGAGAAGAGATTTACTAATCCTCAATAATTGAACATTGTGTTGCAATGCCCGGGACCTCAGAATTTCGATCCCGTATAAAGTCATCACTGTGCACTTCTGATGAGTCCTGGATTTCTTCTATTTTGCGATTTCCAACTGTTTGTCTATTCATTTTATTCTAAGATGAAAAATACTTCTAAACTGTAAAAATAAAGGAAGATTGAGTACTCAATAAAAGGATTTATATACAAATTATACACGCTATTATCTGAATATCGATGATAATAAACTATTGGTATTTACACACATTTCCCTCTATGGAATGGATAGAAATGCTAAATAAACACTGTGTACATGTTCGAAGTGTTAATGCTTGAAAAAAATATTTGGGACAGGCATGTCAGTATTCATAACATGAGAATCATATATTTGTGGGGGAAAGTTATAAGATGTACATCACGAAGTTAGCGTATTACATTGGCTATCTGTATTTGGTCGCGATGGGATGACGACTTTGAGTTCCAAACCTCGAGTGGGAGACGAACCTTTGGTATTCGGTGAGCTTAATCTATTTGGCGGAGATAAACTGTCGAAAATCTGATGCACAGAACTAGAGTCTTCAATGCCCTCAGCCTCAATAGTATATGTGTAGTTTCCTGGTTCAGGTTTCATTTGTAACTGAAATTGGTTAAGAGAAATAGATGTGGGCAGAAGCGATGTATTAGATGAATTAGTTGTATGTTCTACAGTTAAATCAGTGCGACAGCTCGAATTGTTGAACGGCCCTGGAGACTGACCTAAACCTTCTCCAATAAAAGACTCATTAAGCGCATTAGCCGACTTGAGTAAGTTCTGAGTTTGTTGGGTGACCGCAGCCTGCAATCCTGATAACGTTTGACCCCGATAATGAAAATGTGTTTTTAAGTGCGATAGTACATTACTCAAAACTGGATACCTGTTGCGGGCTATGGAAAAGCGTACAGCTGATGTGCGCTCACGTTTCTCTCTGCAGAGATGACAATAGAATATACCAGTAACACGTTTAAAACCCTCAGGTGTCACTGACAATTCCATTTCCATATCAAAATCTCGACCACGCATAAGGTAAGCGTTAACAAACTGTCGTGATGCTAACCTGATTGCACTAGCTGAAGAATGCTGTTTCAAGCGCTCCAAGTTGACTCCATCATTCTCAAATAATCCATTTCCGTATCCGACTGGAGAGGAACTGATCAAAAATTGAGAATGAGATGGTATAGCATTTGATGTGATGGCGACAGGAGGCATGTTTGACACTGGAATCGTATTACGTGATGAAACAGGAGAGATGCTAGTTCCTGGATGAAGCACAGGATTAGTATCACCAGAGTTACAGCTACTTAAACCAGAGAGTGTCGTTAAACTGTTTTCATCGGGTAAAGAATTGGAAAACAAAGTGATATTATTGTATCCATTTCCACTGACAGCAGCTGCGGCAGCTTGGAGAGCAGCAGCCATGATCACTGCTGGTCCGTCAGAAGGTGGAACGCTTGGTTCTGACCTGCGTGAGGGATTCGGGGAATCTGAAAGGTGAGTTTTCGACGTCAAATTTACCACAGATGTTGGAGATGTTGAATCCGAATTTTCCACAAAGTTGCTTGGTAATGGGTCAGCCAAGGTAACAGGCGGCGAAGATGCTGAAGAAATTAAGTGAGACAATGACGAATCTGTTTGACAACCTATATCACTGAAGCTCTGATCACATGAGTCTGGGACAATTATGATATCCTCATCAATAGAATTTTGACCCTCTATCGATAATTGAGATCGACGATACCTCCGACGAATTTCGTGTGCAGCCAAAAGAATTCCACAAGCAGCACCTGAGGGCAGTTTAAACTTTAATGGATCATTTGCAAAAATAGGCCCTACGAAATGCTCTCGTAAGGTAATTGACTTCATAATCGAACAAGCATGTCCAACAAACGTCTCGAGCCTCTGTAACTGATGATCATCTAGTCGGGCGACAACATAGGGTGTACAAAAGCCTGCCAGTTCAAGACAATGAACTACATATTCCGAGCAGACATAACGTGAGATCAAGTCACGAAATTCCGGATCGAGTTTAGCAAGCTTTAGCGAATCTACGGATTTTTCACTAAGAGTTGAATCACTACGTAAAAAATGTTCAGGATTGCAACTAAGAAGTACATTTTCCTCGTCTGTCGACTCTACAATGTCAACATGATCTTTTAACGATGGGTATCCATATTCTCCATATGTAGGTGCTTCTATATGATTAACTGCATGCACAGGCCCCGATAATGATGATATATGCGACCGCTTGCGACGATGATGTGCAGATACTGAAGTAGTTGATATATGAATATCCTTTGGTTGGATACTGTTATGTCCATGTTTTTGTTCGTTGTTGATCATATCAGTGTTTAAAGTTTCGTTAACGATGAGGTTCGGTGTCCCAGACGACTGTTCCATATTTGCTTGGACTTTGGAATTTATCCAACGAAAGTCTGTTACAAATATTCCATAGCAGTAGTAAGCCACGTTGCTATTTATGTAACTACAATAAAATGAAGAAAGTCATTTGTACTAAAATTATTGGAATGCTTGGTTTTACGTCTGAGTCAGTTTAATACTTTGAAATGAGAGTTGTGCGGATTTAAATACAAGAATGACTTTGACGGGGAACAAACGGTGTACAAACTTATTTCAATCACAGGCTACGCAGGGTTTGTGTCTTGGCATTGTTTCACTGCATTGTGCAGTAGACCTTGCAGAGAGGTGTGGAAAATGATTCTCTGAGAAAATACCCTGCTTTGGATAGGGCATCTAGGTGTTCGCAGTTCTTAGATAATAAGGAAAAAGCACAAATGACTAAACTACATCTTACATTAATTTCAATATTTGAACTACTTAGCAACTCCACTAAATGGAAGATTTTATTCTGTACAAGAGGTTTTAGTTTGCTAAACAATTAATCACTTGTTTTTGTTGAGTGAGTATCTCATAAAAATAGTTTTTTCATGTAAAGTCACTACCATCGATGTTTGAAACTTAATGTGGGCGGATTTGTCTCCATAGAATGAGCTACTAGCAATGCATTGTTATAGCTTAGAGACCTAACCTCAAAACTATGATGAAAAACTACAAGTTTGTTATCCATAAATCGATTTGAAAAGTGTGCCTTACATATGATTATCCTGGACTCAGTGCTGAGATTGATGACTCATTGAGCGCCAGAGCATGAACAGCACTTACCTATTTGATTCTCATTACGTGGTTTATTTGGTGTGCCTTGAGAAACCTGAGGAAAACTATCCTTTGTCATCCCCACTACATTTTCAGAATGGAGCCTGAATACGGTAACTATGGGTTCTATTATGGTCGAGTGATCTATTTGTATTGGTTGCTTGGAGTTTCCCATTGATGTGTAGGAGTGCAATTAGTCCGTTTTCTCTAGCCATTGTGGATCCTGTGCGAATTGCCTCAATATGGCCAATAAGTTACAAGCATTTGAAGCAGAGATGGACGGTAGCTAGCAGTGGGATCTAGGATATGGGTTTCATTTTGTTTACGACTCGTGAACTGGGTGTACCTGTATCCCTGAGTCGGTGTTCACTTCGGGACTCGAACCCAGTACCGTTCGCTTCAAACGTCATTGCGTTATGCACTCAGATTTACGGATGGAGTACATATTTAACAAACTTTATCCGGCTGACAACGGTCTTGGAAAAAAAATAACCGTCTAGTTAAGGGATCTTACCGAGTTCAAGACTTCATAGGCGTCAATCAAATAGTCACAAAACAGCTTTGGGGTTAATCCACAGAGAAAATACAGAACATTAGGCTGGATGTAATATACATGACAAATTCCGGAGACTATAATTTATAGACGAAGCAATTAATTTAAAGATTTCGGAGCGACTTATATACCTACCCATATGGATAAATAGAATTTTTACGTTATAGCTAATGTCAATTGGTGATTAAAACCCTAACTCACATTTCTAACCCCAACTTTTAGATTTCAATTTTATTCCCTCAAGCCAATCCATAACCCTTTTTTAACCCTAGTGAGTTCCTCAAAGTCACTCTGACGTTTCTCATAGTCCATCTATACATTATAATCTCGCCCGAACTTCTCTATTCACACCGATAAAAAACCAACCACTACATAAATTTAGTGATCAAAATTGCTGGAGTACTATCATTTTCAGTGACTGAAATATAAACCACAAATCAATGTGTCAATGGTGAGTCCGAAAGCCACTGCCACGTAATCTAAAGGATCTCTATAGTGTCTAAAAATAAAGGGTCGCTTGCCAACAAGCACTTGTCTGCAATTACTAGGGTGAATAAATGATTTACATACCGCACGTCTGTTATTAGTCTCCTCATAAACTATGATTTCATCGCCTGCGAACGTCTTCAATCAGATATAGCTTTTTCAACCAAGACACCTGCAGTCGACATGTCTAAACATTTATTTTGTGTGGAATTTCTGGCAAACGTACGCGAAATTTGAGTTAAGTTAATATAATTGTCCGTGGATTTTGTGTAAATGGATGAGAAGATTGACAATCCTGGTAAATCTAAGTGATAAGTAAACAACTTTCTATAAATTCAGCTAATATTCAAACTCGGCTGCAAAAATAGGAAATGTCGCATTATTATCTCAAGCGAGGTAAAAAAAGAGACTTTTTGGTGCGTTTCTCATTTAATTTCCCGTGGGAAAGGCACTTTTGTTTGCTTGGGAGTTTATGGAGGTGTTTTACAAATCAATTACTAGTCTTATGAAAAACGTGAAACGAATGTCGTATTTAAAAAGAGGTAGTACAAATATAACATTTAAGTACTTAAAGTACAACAACTAACCACTAAGTCTCTGGTCAAATCCACAACCTCTAGGTCGACCCTTAGCGATTTCCAGTGTCCAATATCTTCGTGATGAAGTAACATATATGTATTATATGTTCTCAAACATCGACATCTGGTAATGTTAGCACACCTTTGGAAGATTTAAAATTCCAGCAATTTCGGAGAATTTGTTGCTCATCTTGTACAAATAAGGCAAGATACTAGAAGAGAGAGAATCCAATGAACGAAATGGTGAATTTTTCTGCGAAGTCAACCAGTGTTTTGCCCTAAGGAATGCAGTCTATGAGTATAAAGTAATGATATGTTTAATACTTTCGAAATAAGAGAATTTTTAATGGGTGTAGAGAACTCTGGGTACGCTGACAATGAAATCAAAGACATCATCAACATTGCGGAGTGGAGAGTTTCCTGCCTGTCTTTCATTCATGGAAGACTAAATACAAGTCATATAGGAGTGCTTAGTTATTTCAATAAATTCAAAAGTCATTATGGATTCCTCCACTAATGCCTTGAGGGTTTTGAACGTGTGTGTACAAAGTGATTTTTCAAATTTTTCGTGGAACAATGGAAATATTTTCTGTTCTGCGCTCAAAACAAATAAAAACGAAGCGTCTGACTGTCTTGTGAAAGATTTGAAAGCACAGTTCATAGCCCTTAATATGAAACCACTTATGTCAAAGTGAGGTAATAGATATCGTAGACGTCGGGGTTTACTGTGCTACACAAATTTTTATCTAGACTTAAGCAGTGGCAGTCATAGTGTTGAGAACGGACATTAATTTCATTTTTCATAATTCTGTACTTGATTTCAATTACGAAAAGCCATACATCCCAGGACACTCAGTGGTTTCTGGAAGACTTAAATACTTTTTCATAAGTTACTTTAGAAGCACGGGTTTGTTTTGAGAAATGATATTGCACTAAGACACTGGGATTCCTCACTAAATGGTTATTCAGGGTAAATGTGTTGCAGACACAACAAAAACGTAGTTTGTATCCGAGTACAAGGCCTATTTAATACTTAATATATTTAATATCTCCATGATGAGTTAGTAGTTTTGGGGAGGGCTTGCTTCTTAACGTTAAGTTGCTGTCACAAATTTTTCATTATCGTCCACCCTTAGCTTAGCCTGACAAATATAGAGGATCAGGTTTCAAGAAGTTGGACTGCTGGATTTCATTTGAGACATATATTTTTATACCCTTCTATACTCTTAACTTCACTGTCTCCTCATGTTTGGCATTTTGCTGGAGCTTGTAGCGGTAAATAAATCCCCAAAATAAATAGCTCTGTAAGTTTTCGACACTGGATGCTGACCACAGTTTTAATGGACTCATCTAGCTGAAGGCGCTCGGTCATGCATCCCCACCAGATCACGAGTCGGAACGCCGTGCTCAACATCACCTGCAGTCGCTAGCCAGATTAAATCAGACGACCCTCGATATATTGATAGTCTATCAAATATATCTTCGATCTCCTAGCTTCTGTCTTTTGATTTCACTTGGTGGTTACGATCCATATTAGAAGGTGTTACTTGTTAGAGCGTTGTCAAACTCCGAATACCTGTGGCGTGTTCATTGGTGAGCCCGACGTGATATTTATTCGGTGACCAAGAAAAGGTAAGGCAGGCTTGTCAAATAAGAATGGTAGAATAGTACATAGAAAGTCAGAAACATATTAGGTGATGAGATGAACCAAAGTAAAAGTCAAGATAAAATATGGTTTGAAAATGACGAACAGAAGAAAGAATTTGGAGTGGATTGGTAGTGAAACAAGTCTGAAATATCTAACTTACTATAATTTATTATTGGGAACGTCATCCTTGAAAACTCCGCCCGTAGCTTTTCTAGAGTTACTGCCGGAGTACTGGACAATAAAGGCTAAATACGGGAGAGATGCTGCTATACTCCGGTCACGAAGCGGAAAATGCTCCACACACTCAGGGCGTTGCTCTAATGCTATCCAAAGTAGCACAAAATGCACTTGTAGGATGGGAATCTCACGGATCCAGAATCATCAAAGCATCATTCAAAACAAAGAAGGAGGGGATCATAATGAATATTATCCAATGTTATGCACCCACCAATGATAGCAACGATGACGTTAAAGATCAATTCTATGAGAGGCTGCAATCAATCATAGAGAAGTGCCCAAGAAAGGACCTCACCATTCTGATGAGAGATCTAAACGCCAAAGTCGGAATGGACAACACCGGATATGAAGACATCATGGGACTACATGGACTGGGAGAGAGAAACGAAAACGAGGAATGATTTGCAAGTCTGTGTGTATTCAACAAATTGATCACAGTCGGCACAATATTTCCACACAAACGTATACACAAAGCTACGTGGATCTCACCGGACCACACCACAGAGAACCAGATAGATCACATTTGCATCAATAAAAAGTTCCGAAGGACAATGGAAGATGTGAAAACCAGGAGAGGAGCGGACATAGCTTCAGGTCATCACCTAGTTGTGGCCAAATTGAAACTGAAGCTAAAGAAGAACTGGACAACTGGACAAACAGCACCACAAAGGTTCAATACAGCCTTCCTTCGAGATACTGACAAACTCAATGAATTCAAGATAGCTCTCAACAACAGGTTCCAAGCCCTACAGGATCTACTGAAGGAAGAAGAAACTACTATGGAGGATAACTGGAAAGGTATCAAAGAAGCATTTACTTCAACGTGTCAAGAGGTTCTGGGCCCCAACAAGCATCATCACAAAGAATTGATCTCTATAGAAACACTGGACAGGATCAAAGAAAGGAAGAACAAGAAGACAACAATTAACAATAGTCGAACACGAGCAGAGAAAGTCCAAGCACAAGCTGAATATACAGAATCAAACAAGCAAGTGAAGAATAGCATTAGAGCCGACAAGCAAAAATACGTGGAAGAACTAGCAACGACGGCGGAGAAAGCTGCAAGAGAAGGAAATATGAAACAGCTTTACGATACAACGAAGAAACTAGCAGGGAAATATAGTAAAGCAGAGAGACCAGTCAAAGACAAAGAAGGAAGATCAATCACTGAGATTCAACAACAGCAGAACAGATGGGCAGAGTACTTCGAGGAACTCCTGAACAGGTCGGCTCCAATTAATCCACCGGACGTCGAAGCAGCACACACAGATCTTCCTATAAATGTCAATCCACCGACGACCGAAGAAATCAGAATGGCCATCAGACAGATCAAGCGCGGTAAGGCAGCAGGACCCGACAATATAACAGCTGAAGCACTGAAGTCAGACATCGAAGTAACTACGAGCATGCTTCATCTTCTATTCAAGAAGATTTGGGAGGAGGAAGAAGTGCCGATGGATTGGAAAGAAGGACACCTCATCAAGATTCCAAAGAATGGAAATCTGAGCAAGTGTGAAAACTACAGGGGCGTTACACTACTGTCAATACCAGGAAAAGTATTCAACAGAGTGTTACTGAACAGGATGAAAGACGCAGTAGACGCTCAACTTCGAGATCAACAAGCTGGATTCCGTAAGGACCGGTCGTGCACAGACCAGATTGCGACACTACGGATCATCGTCGAACAATCAATCGAATGGAACTCGTCATTGTACATCAACTTCATTGATTATGAGAAGGCATTTGACAGTGTAGATAGGAGGACGTTATGGAAACTTCTTCGACACAACGGAGTTCCTGAGAAGATTGTCAACATTATCCGGAACTCATACGATGGACTACAGTGCAAAGTAGTGCATGAAGGACAGCTGACAGATGCATTCCAAGTGACGACCGAAGTCAGACAAGGCTGTCTACTCTCTCCCTTCCTGTTTCTTCTGGTGGTCGACTGGATTATGAAGACCTCGACATCTGAGGGAAACTACGGCGTACAATGGACAGCTCGGAACCAATTAGACGACTTGGTCTTCGCAGATGACCTAGCCCTCCTATCGCATACACACGAACAAATGAAGATAAAGAAAGCCAGCATAGCAGCAGTCTCTGCATCAGTAGGCCTCAACATACACAAGGGGAAAACCACGGTCCTCAAACACAACACGGAACAGCAGTTTAATCACTCTTGATGGCGAAACTCTGGAAGATGTAAAATCTTTCACATACCTGAGAAGCAAGGGTCGCATTCCTTCAATTAAGGAACATATAAAACTCAAAACAACTTTCAACCAATATCATAGTCAGAATCTTCAATGCGAACATCAAGACAGTTCCACTGTATGGGGCTGAAACTTGGAGAACTACTACAACTATCATCAAGAAGGTACAAGTATTTATAATTAGTTGCCGGATACCATCAGCAACAGCCTACTGTGGGAGAGAACAAGCCAGCTTCCAGCTGAGGAGGAAATTAGAAAAGACGACGGAAGTGGATAGAACACACATTACGCGAATCATCAAACTGCATCAGGAGTCAAGCCCTAACTTGGAATCCTGAAGGAGAGCGGAAATGAGGAAGGCCAAAGAACACATTACGTCTGGAAATAGAAGCATATATGAAAGGGATGAATAAGAACTGGAAAGAGCTTGAAAGGATTGCCCAGGGCAGGGTTGGATGGAGAATGCTGAAAAGCGGCCTATTCTCCTTCGCGAGAAGTAACAGGCGTAAATTAATCTAATCTAATCATCCTTGATACTGAATCCTAATATCTGTATACTGCTTGAGCTTTAAACTTGGTTTCTTTGTAATTTTAACCATGAACTACTAGTCCCTATCTTGTTTTGATTTAGTACTTGCCATTTTCGCTTGGTAGACTCTATATTGAAGGTTTCTTACAACAATTATAATTATGTTATTGAGGCTACCTGCATTGACAATTTCCAATTCAAGATCAAAATTTGAATATTTTGGACTTGGGACTTTGGTTTTTTCATCATTTGGTTACAAGTTGAGAACTCCTTCAAAATACACCGAAGTACGAATTTTAGATACAACACTAACGACAGAAAAATCATGACAAAATTGGTTACTGCTATAATAAAAGAAAGGTAAGGCGAGCAGTAAACTGTGAAGACTTTGGTTTTTAGTTGCCAGCCTATCATTAAGGCTGTGGTGTAGAA